CATTACTGTTACGCTTGGCACGCTTTGCTGCGCGCCTTTCCTCCTGCGAACTCTCTCGGTGGATGAAGGCTCTGTATCTTGCCGCATTTGACTTCGCGGTGGAGGGTTCAACTGTAGCGTGAGAACCTGCCAAAATGATTAGTATCAAGTCAGTTGAGTGGGTATGATGAGCAAAACCGTACGTTTCACAGGTGTTTCAGTGCTCCCCGTAGCCTGCCCAAGGGGTTTCGCGACATCTTTCCACTCATTGGGCACTATGCCATGAGAATGTGCTCGGCGACTTCGAGCAAGAGTTGAAGCGTAGTCGATGACACCCCTGAATCTTTCTTCGGTGGAAATAGACAGAAGATTTAGTATGTCCACGAGAGGAGCGCCTTCCTGGTTGAGAATTGTCTGACCAGTGCGCACTACGGAAGAGCCATCCGGACCAGTAACTTCAATCGGCTGTGGTCGGCCAGGTACGGGATGGAAAAGACCCTCTGAGGGGATCCGAACACCAAGGTCAAAGCCTCGCTTTTGGAGCTTCTGCTCAAGGAGTTTTGTGATCAAGAATGGTTCTTGGATGTGATACTGCGCTCGCCTTGCTGCGATAGTGTCCTCGCGAGTCGGTTCGTTGGGATCTTTAAAGGGAGCATGTGCCTGAGAGGATTGACCGGTGAACGAGTCGTGCGTGATCGCTGGTTTGATTTGAGGCAAATCACCGAAGCTGGCTGACGCCGAGGGAGTTCCCGGGGTAGAGCCTTGAGACGTAAAGGAGGTGTTGATAGGTGGCGGGTATTGCTGTGGTCCTCGATGGGGAGGCTGCGCCTGCGCATTCTGCCCTGAAAAGCTCTGTGTGAGAAATGCTTCCTCTTCCCTCACATCAATTCCAGATGAAGCTAGGACATCTGTCAGCTCAGCGGCATCTGTTGTTTTATCCACCGGGCGAGAAGGAGGACCCATGGTCCCGGGAGGAGCAGGGGCAGGTGTCGAAGACATGTTCATATTCATGCTCATATTCATCGGTGTTCCGTTCATCGATGATTGATTTTGTGGTAGTTGCACTGCGTTGAAGCTTGGAGAACCGTAAGGAGACTGGGTCTGAGAAGACGGGAGAGGTGAGAGTCGCGGTCGTTTGGATGGAGGAGGTGCGCCTCCATTCACGGGAGATGCTACTGAGTTTGGGGATGGGGACGAGACAGGTGGGGAGAAAGGTTGAGAGGAAAACTGCGGAGGTGGGGGTGCCTGCTGCTGTGGATGGCGAGCTTGTGCCATTGTGACTGCCGATTGAGAGCAGAATTGTGTTTCAGATGAGATAAAGGCTATTGCGCCGAGCCGTCGTAGCCTAGATGAATCGAGGTCCACGCGTGGCCGTTAAATTGAGCGTATTGCTCGCACCACCAGCTTCCACCACCTTTGACCATCTCAATATTGAGTTTAAATCATAGACGCGACACGTGAATTGTAAAATAGTTGGCTCGAGCGCAAAATCAACAGTAATCGAGGAGATAGTGATGTGTGATGTGGTAAGGAGCTTTCTAGGTGGTCGAACTCTGCTCCGCGGATCGCGGATCGCGACACACGTGACTAAGCTTGACTAAGCTCTCCAAATCTGCGGGTGTCCAGGTGAGGTTTTGTCTACTGCGAAAAAGATCACTCTTCTATTGAAACACAGTATTCACAAGTGCATTGAATCTGAGCAGCTGTATCCCTTATAGCCTTTGTTGCGCAAGTCATGGGTGTTGCGCCAAGCTCATATTGAGATCTTGGGCTTTGCCGTGCGACGCGGCTGCTAGTGCCCTTCAACTAGGCTTCTTAAACTCATACTAAGAAATCCGTCAATACCCTGACACTTCACCCAATTAATTTTCGACACCATGGCTTCCAAGCGCAAAGCTTCCGCAATGGGAGCGGCTGTCGACGATGAGCCTGTTGATCCATCAGACGAACTGGCGTTCTACTGTCTCGGCGGCGGCAATGAAGTTGGACGGAGTTGTCACATCCTGGAATATAAGGGCAAGACAGTGATGGTAAGCCTCTGTTTGAACAAGAAGTGAAGTAACAGATACTGACCACCTTGGCTTCTGTAGCTTGACGCTGGTATGCACCCGGCGAAAGAAGGCTTCTCCGCACTCCCGTTCTTTGATGAGTTCGATCTGAGCACAGTGGATGTTCTTTTAATCAGCCAGTACGTGAATCTCTTTTTACACAATATACAGAATTATCTATGGATGGCAAGCATGACTGGGCATCTGTCAAAAGTCTACAATTACCCATATGAGCCCTGGAGGCAACCTGGGGTTATTTGGCAGTCTATTGTCGAAGTTGCCCCGAAAGAACACATTCCCCTGCATATATACGAGAAAGCCCAATACAATTCAATGTCATGCATATGTTTCTTGTATCACTGTACCCTCTTGAGTGTCGAGTTGGAGTGCTTTCTCCTTCAGCGTGTTTATTCATGGTTATCGCAGTTGACTAACAGTATGATCTGTATAGTTTCCACGTTGACCATTCCTCTGCCCTCCCATATGTTCTCAGCAAGACAAACTTCAAAGGAAGAGTCTTCATGACCCCGGCAACCCGAGCAATCTACAAATGGCTCATTCAAGACAATGTCCGAGTCAGCAACACATCCTCTTCCTCTGATCAACGCACTACGTTATACACCGAACGTGATCACTTGTCAACACTTCCCTTGATTGAAACCATCGACTTTTACACAACGCATACGATCAATGGCATTCGTATCACTCCGTATCCCGCCGGGCATGTTCTCGGTGCTGCCATGTTTAAAGTTGATATTGCAGGGCTGGTAACTTTGTTCACAGGAGGTGAGTTCATCTTGCCATCCCTCTTCTTATGTATACCGAAGGATTATCAATCAAATCGCTAATCAACCGGCTAGACTACTCCCGCGAGGAAGACAGGCACTTGATCCCCGCCGCGGTGCCCAAGGGCGCGAAGATCGATGTCCTCATCACAGAATCTACATTCGGCATTTCATCCAATCCGCCTCGACTGGAACGCGAGGCCGCCTTGATGAAGTCAATCACGAGCGTTCTCAACCGTGGAGGTCGAGTTTTGATGCCCGTATTTGCTCTCGGACGTGCCCAAGAGCTGCTCCTTATCCTTGATGAGTATTGGGAAACTCACCCAGAACTCCAGAAATTTCCTATCTACTACATCGGAAATATGGCGCGACGATGCATGGTCGTATATCAAACATACATTGGAGCCATGAACGATAATATAAAGCGACTCTTCCGGCAGCGCATGGCGGAGGCCGAGGCCAGCGGCAATAAGAGCGTGAGTGTCGGACCATGGGATTTCCGATTCGTCCGAAGTCTTCGCAGCTTAGAGCGCTTCGACGATGTTGGAGGATGTGTCATGCTTGCCTCTCCCGGTATGTTGCAGACGGGAACAAGCCGTGAGCTGCTGGAAAGATGGGCACCAAGCGATCGCAACGGTGTTGTTATGACCGGCTATAGTGTTGAAGGAACCATGGCTAAGGGATTGCTCAATGAACCTGATCAGATCCCGGCCGTCATGTCTAAGGTTTCTACTGGGCATGGCCGTGGTCGCGTTCCCGGAGTGAATGACGAGGACCAAAAAGTTATGATTCCTCGCCGTTGTACTATTGACGAGGTCAGCTTTGCAGCCCACGTTGATGGTGTCGAAAATCGTACTTTTATCGAAGAAGTAGGAGCACCAGTTGTGGTAAGTGTGACATCCACCAGTGTATTTGAAATTCTACTAACTTCCCCAAGATCCTCGTGCACGGCGAAAAGCATCAGATGATGAGGCTGAAGTCGAAATTGCTCAGTCTTAACGCAGATAAAACCGTCAAAGTCAAAGTCTACACTCCAGCAAACTGCGACGAAGTTCGCATCCCTTTCAAGAAGGACAAGATTGCCAAGGTTGTCGGCAAGCTTGCAGAGCTTGCGCCTCCATTGGAGAATGATGATGCCCAGCTCATGGCTGGAGTCCTAGTTCAAAATGGGTTCAACTTGTCGTTGATGGCTCCTGATGACCTACAGGAATATGCTGGCTTGACAACTACGACTATTACTTGCAAGCAACATATCACTCTCAGCTCTGCGAGCATGGACTTAATTCGATGGGCCCTCGAGGGAACTTTTGGGGCTATCGAAGAAGTGGGGAATAGTAAAAAGACCGCGGCCAACGGCAAGAAGGACATGGATACTGACGACAGCCCAAAGCAAGATGATGCAGACGAGGAGATTCCATCGGATGAGACACGCACATTCCTTGTCATGGGATGTGTTTATCTCTGCCATCACTCACGCACCCGTGAGGTTGAGTTGGAATGGGAAGGTAATATGATGAACGACGGAGTGGCAGATGCAGTTATGGCTGTTCTGCTCACAGTCGAAAGCAGCCCGGCCTCCGTAAAGCGTATGAATCTCTATCCCTTTTCACCTCTATACCTGTGCTGACTACTACGGTTTTAGAATCCGCCAAAAACAAGCACCGCCACCATCACCACGACGACAACGGCATGGAAATCCCCTCACTTCCACTCAACCCTCATTCTCAATCTGGACCCCAGGAGCGGCTTGCTCGTATGCTGATGATGCTCGAGGCACAATTCGGCGGCGACAACATTGGCCCCATTGAGCGCCCACGAGTCCCGGCTGATCTCACACTTGACCCACAAGATGGCGAAGAGATGAACGAAGAACGAATTGCCGACATCGAGGCTGCGGAGTTGGATCGACTTATCGCAATGGGCATTCCCGTCCCTGGTATTGAAATCAGGGTGGATAAGCACATTGCCCGTGTGTGGCTTGAGGACCTGGAAGTCGAGTGTACCAACCCTGTCCTGCGAGACCGCATTCGTGTAGTCGTCGAGCGGGCCATTGAGACCGTTGCTAGCCTGTGGGCGGAGAGCTCGATTCATCAGGACGCAGCGTCTAGTGGCTCTGTCAACGGGCTAAAGGGGATTGAACTGGCCGATAGGAAGAAAGCAGGTGCCACTGAGGCTCATGCCTGATCTCTCATGTACTTGTATAATTATGAAATATCCCAACATTCACATGATCTGACTTGAATTTTCTACATCTGCTTTGTCGTTTAGTGTTTCTTCCGGTAGTCACATTTTTAACAAGATGAAATTCCTTAACTAATTGCATATTCCAAGGATATGAAAGTAAACTCTTGGAGTAGATATAGAGCGCGCTCTGCTCTATGGCGAGGCAAAAACCCTCCTTCATAACATTATCTAGCGTGCTAACAATAATATCAATCTCCTCTTTCGATACGATATAAGGCGGCGCGATTATAAGATGATCTCCTTTGATTCCATCCACGGTACCAGAACAGCCATATAGTGAAACACTGTGCTCCGGTTGTAGACCCTTCTCCTGGATCCGGTAAGACAGACGATCCTTGGGGTCAAATGGCTCTTTCGTGGCCTTGTCTATGACAAATTCAAGCTAGAAAGAATTAGCAACAAGCTTTTTTTTGCTGGCCATGCAATATGGACCACAGGAATATGCAACTTACACCCCAGAACAGCCCTTTCCCACGAATATCTCCCACGTAAGGATGACTCTCGAATCGCTGCTTCAACTGTGTCTCAAGGTAAGCACCCATGGTTCGGACATTGTCTAAGAGAGACTGCTCCTGAATAGTCTTTTGCACAGCAAATGCAGCAGCACATGAGACCGGATGACCTTGATATGTCTGTCCATGGCGGAACTGCCCGGTTCCTTTGTCCATTGTCTGCACAATAGAATCATTAATCAAGACGGCCGACACCGGCGCGTAGCCACCGCCCAGACCCTTTGCAATAGTCTGGATATCGGGAACAATATCCTCTTGCTCCCAGACATGCAAGGTCCCACAACGGCCCATCCCGCTCATGATCTCATCAAGGATCAAGAGAGCGCCGTGCTTTTCGCAGACGGCTTTCATTGCGCGGAAATACCCTGGTACTGCGGGGACACAACCGAGAGCCTAACAACTGTAAGTTGGATAATCTGCTAATGTAGATTTTACGACAGGAAGTCATACCGCGCCGACGACCGGCTCTGCAATGAATGCGCACACAGTTTCGGGTCCGACACGTTGGAATTCGGCCTCTAGCTCGGCTGCCAGACGTGCCACATACTTTGCATCAGACTCGCCGTCCCACTTCCCACGGTATGCATAGCATGGGGAAACATGGGATACGTTCTTGGAGAGAAGTGGTTCAAATGGCTGCCGACGCTGAACATGGCCACCAACGGAAAGCGCCCCGAGTGTGGTGCCATGGTAGGATGGAAGACGTGCAATGAAATTGGTACGTTCGGTTTGAGGAGTGGGAAGCTCCAAGAAGTATTGCCGTGCTAGCTTAAGTGCAGCCTCCACGGCCTCGGACCCTGGATATCGTCAGCACTGTATGCGTAACCTGGATTCTCAGTTCTTCGGAGGCTGTCTTGACTCACCCGAGCTGGTTATAAAGACCTTGGATAGTTTTCCTCCAGTAGAGTCCACCAGGAGTTGAGCAAGGTCCTCGGCTACTTGTGTGCCGAAAAAGGCAGAATGACAGTAGGATATCTGGTCCATCTGATCCTTGATGATTTGGATGACCTGTTCGTTACCGTGTCCTAGACAAGATACAGCTGCGCCACCCGTGGCATCGAGGAATTTGGTTCCATCTTCCAGAAAGACGTAGCACCCCTTGCCACCGACGGCTTTCTTTGGGACAAAGCGTGTGTCCCGGTGGAGGATAGCACTAATCTTAGTTTCTAGGAAGTAGTATATCAGAATGGGGAATAAGCCAAGATGTTGCATTTTGACATACCGTCAGTCATTGTTGAAGTTTAGGAAAATGTAATTGAGAGAAAGAAAGCTTGGAGAGATGAAACGCCCTATATATAGCCACGTAACTCTCTCTTCGATGTTTCACCCGAGGCAATGGGCCTTTGCGGGGCTAAGTGGGTTCGGCATGCCGAAAAAAAGAAGCCGAGCTCTTAATTGGTCTAGGGCGGACTTTTGGCCGATTTGGATTTCCTATCTATCGACTCTATCTACCCAGCTCGTGTTTTAAGAGCCTTAGATTGGCCTTTGTTGATGACTAGGCTGGGACTAGACTGTGGAAAGATAGAAGTATATGTATATTATAAGGGTACGCTGGGCTATAGTTCAATTTGCGTCCGTAAATAAGATATTACATAGAGCATCGGGTTGCTACTTTTCATAGCGAAAGATTGAAATTGACAAAATACAATTTACCGATAAATTCAATAATATCATCTCAAATTATAGACATAATAGACATAGCGTACTATACTATGTTAATATTGACGTGTAGTTGAATGTTCAAACATCCCCACGTCCCACCGCCCGCACACTGCATTCTGCCCCTCTGACTTGGCCACAATTCCGCCTTCCCCAGACATCTCTCCCCATTCCACTTCAACCAGCCACAATGTCGCGTCGCGCTCAAATCGAGGAAGTCTCTGACTCCGACCCAGAAGAGATCGCCCCCTCTTACGACTCCGATGAGGACCTCCCCAGCAATGCCATCATCTCACCCGTAAATATCCCGACCAGGGCTGCACCTCAACCTCAACAACAACAGATGCCCATGCCATCAATGCCTGTACCTGAGCCCCAGCGCGAGATTCCCAGACACTTCTCATGCTTGTATCCCGTGTACTTCGACAAGACCCGATCGCGCGCCGAGGGCCGCAAAGTGGGGGCGGAGCTCGCAGTGGAAAACCCTCTTGCGCGAGATATCGTCGATGCCGTCCAGATGCTTGGCTTGAATGCGGGACTGGAGCCCGAGAAGCTGCATCCCAAGGATTGGGCGAATCCAGGTCGTGTCCGTGTGCAGGTTAAGAACGAGAATGGTCAATTAGCCAACCCGAAGATCAAGAACAGTACGTGGCTATCTGTGATGGAGTGAATGGTTATTTCCGTTGGATTTGAACTGACATTTTTGCTTAGAACACCACCTCTATATTCTCGTCGCACAGTACTTGAAGGCTAATCCTACTACCGAAAAGTCACCCTACCGGCTACGAATCCGTGGCCTACCCATGCCTGAGAAGCTTCCACCAGCTCCTACTGCCCCGCGGGGCTGGAAGATCGGAAGGATCCTACCTATCCATTCGCCTGCCTACAGTGGTGGTGGTGTCAGTGACAACCCCCTCAAGGACGCAATGGCCGAGATGCAGGGTATGCAAGGCATGGAGGGAATGCCTAACATGTCGGAAATGATGAGTCAAATGGGCGGAATGGGCGGATTGAGCAACATGTTAGGCGGACTAGGTGGAATGGGTGGAATGGGTGGCGAGCCCTCAGGGGCAGGTGCAGAAAAGAAAAAGAAGGAAAAGAGGAAGGTGATCAGGGCATGATTTAGCATGTCCTTTATTCCGTGATCCAATTGCATTGTATGGCGATGGGCGTTTTTCTCTTCCTAATTTTTGATGCTCGAGAAAGGAATACTTCCTTGATACCACGGATCTACATCTGAATTGATCTCATTGTACATCCCAAAATTGTGTCCAATATCCACATGATACATATATTTATACAAAGGCTTGTACAATTCTAAGGTTATAATTATGAGAAGTACATTGCCTACGCTGTATTCCGGTCCAGCATAAGCATCTCAGAATTAACTAGGACTGTCCTACAGAGTACGGAGTAGTCTGGCCTGGATATGCAGGCCACCGCTGAATGTAATTTCCATTGATCGCGATGATCTAGCCCTGGAAAGCTCCCTGAAACACCTGTGCCTGACATCCTATCTACCATATACAAGGATAGTCGGCCGCTTGTGCGACCTTATGATGGCAGTCTTTCTGATGTTCTTCTTGTATATTCCACTTAGATGTCTTTCTAGAATCCTTTTTCTTCAGATATTTTCTTCCACTTCTCAGTTCTATACATAGGTAGACGGCAGAAAAGGGAGGTGGGAGGCTGAATTTGTGAAAAAAAGACTTTTCTATGTACGTATAACCTCTTAATTATTCCCTCTGATTCTCCATAGTTTCAACATTATAATTGTTTTGCAATGACTATTAAACTAAGGGCCATTGTGTGAGCGAAAGAACAGAAAGAGCAGAAAGTAGAGGAAAATATATATGCATGGATGCATGGCAGTCAATAAGGTAAGAATTTACTCAGTGACTATGTACATCTACGATCTTCTAGATCTAACAATAACGACACAGTAAGGATTATCATCATAATTTTGACCTATGACCTGGTCAACCTGCTCATGGTTACTAGTTAGATCAATTGATAGCGATTGCATATTGAGACTTCTTTGAAGAGACATGGTTGGTGAAAGCAGCTATCAGTCGCTTAAGAAGTCGATTCGAGGGGAACCCAACCTACAGTCTGTGTAAAAGGGATTTCACATGTACATGTTTTGGTAGTCATTTCAGTCCGCGGGATTTGATGTAGCAGGATCAATTTGGGAGAGAACCGAGAAATCAATTTGGGAGAGAACCGAGAAATCTATTTGGGAGAGAACCGAGAAATCTAAACGCTCATGCAAGGGGCGCGTTTGTACCATAACTAAAATTGAACATACTCGTGAGCGTCATCGTGCCGTGCCTGTTTCGTTCGGGCACCCTCCATTTCTATACTTCCAGAGCCGGCTGAAGTCCTTGACACGCAGTCTTTGACCTACACCATTCGTTTGTGACCGTTGCAGGCTCAATGCGGCGGGGAGAAAGGCCTCATCTCTGGTTATAGTGGGTTGATACCTGACTCGATGTGGAGGGCCATCATATCCGTTTATACCTGCGGTTGTCCATGGCTCAACCTCCATATCCATAAATGGATTGGAGTCAAGGACGCTCATATCAGGACCTAGAGTAAACATGTTGTCTAGGTAATGCATGTTGAGGAGGTGACCTGAATTCGGGCGAACGAACAGCCGACCCATATATCGATTTGGGATGTCCACAAAGTGGAGCACTCCCCCTAGGGCCACAATATCTCCTGAATTGGCGTAATGCTCAATATGGCCGATGGATTGACCAAATTGATGCACTATATCAGGTGTTGAGATTCTTTGTGGCCTTGCTAGCTTTGTCCATCGCGGGTTATTGAAGTGATTCGCCGCATTTCCAAAGGTATATACCTCCAAGTGATGAAGGCGATCGTGGGGTAGCTCATCCAAAAGCCAGTCCAAGACCAGTCCTCCTTCAATACCACCTTGGCTGTGAAGAAGCAAAACCACCTTGTCACATTCTGGGTCCAAGAGAGCTTCCTTGACCAGGGCATATGATTGTCTTATATCGTCAGTAGCGTATGCAAAGTCCCGTTGAATCAGACATTCAATGAGATCAAAGACAATTCCCGCGCTAATGCTCATTAGTGTTTGTGAACCCAAGATCCAAAATATCACTTACGTGCGGTTGTGCACGCCCGTCACTTTCCGACCAAAGATGTGTGACAGTTGATCGATGTTCATCTGTACCCAGTGATGCCTATAGGTAATTTGAGTGAGTAATTGAAATCAGGAAACTATGGGGATCCCGCCCTTACCCAGCTGCAATTCCATTTATATACAACCAACGCTCCCGCTCATTGCCTGGTCGCTCGACCACGGATACTTGGGATACCAGGATCTGCTGGAAGCCGTTCAACATCAACATGACAATTGCGTAATTGACAGTCAAAGCAATAGCAGAATATGTAAGAATCCATAGGCCTGGAATCATACAGATAACCATGATCGGCAGTGAGAACAGGAACACAAGTTGATAAACCATCAGAAATATATGGACCAACACAGTAGCTCCATTGCGTAACGACGGATAGAACTCGTCAAACTCATGGGTGCGAGCTAGATGCAGGGGCAGGAAGATACCTGGAAGCGCCCATATCTTCGAAACAAATAGGGACAAGTCGCTCCAGAGTAACTTGATTGGTGATGCAGTGTAGGGCAACGGAGTATCCTCCTTGCCCTGACAAGTCATCGTGGAACGTAGAGGAGTATAAGTGTAACGGCAAGAAAGGTGAAACCAAAAATGGGAATGGAAATACTAAAAGCATTGTCATGTGATACCTTTTTTCGCGCGTGCCTACCTATACTCTTGTGACCTCAGGAGATCTGCAGTGCTAGGTATACAAGCCCTTTTATGACTACACATGACTACATCTGCTTATGACTTATGGACTTTCTTTTTTCTTTTCTAAAAATGTATGACTTTATATTTTATTTCCCACTGAATACGGATGTTTACCTGAGATCAAATTTCTAAATATCGTTGAAGACAAAGTACAGAACCATCCCGTCTCTGTATGTGACCTATAACTAATAGTTAGTTAACTAGCCCCAGTAATAAGACTGACTAGTTAACTGCAAGTACAGAAAAGACTAACATAGTGTTTAGTCTAGACTATTGAAGTCTCATTCTAAAATGTGGCTTGTATATAGAGGTAATTAAATAATATTCTTGTTGACATTTATTCACTATAAAATGGAATTGTACGAAGTATCCCCATCATCTCGCGAAGTAAATTTAGGTGACAGGTTTTCAAGTACCGTGATGAATGAGAAAAGAGAATAGAACATTAACGAACAAAGTGACACTTTTTTCGACGATTGCTGCCGCGGAATAGATATTTGCGGTTGATCTTCACACCTGCATGGCGCATCTCACTTTGATGCCATTGTGCAATGACTTTGGCAGTGCCGGCAATCGAAATATCGCTAGGATTCCAGTATACTGGGACACGTAGAGACAAACACCATTTGATATCATGATGGACAGGTTCAGACGAAATGATGCCGTCTCTGGCGTTGATGCGAGCCACTACAAGATCCATCAACTCTTCGTCGTTATACTTGTGGTCGGCCCAGTTGAAGAAGACAGTCACCCATTGATTGGCTCCAGATGGACTGTATTCCTCCTGAATGTTTCGTCCGTTTGGATAATTGAACATTCCTCGATTCCTAGCGCGCTTCTTTGCTTTCCTTGTGACTCGAGAAGAGTCAATGGCTGAGACTGTGTTGCCCATTATAGAAATTCCGAGGCAAAGCGGTAGGGATAGGTAAGACAGGGAGAAGTAAGAAAGAAGTGAGACGAAAGGAGAAGAGATGAGACAGGGTAGGTCTAATATATTGAATGAGACGAAATAAAGAAAGACCATTAAGTTCTTTAATAGTTCAGTTCATTGTGGTTGATCCATAGACCGATCAATAGGATCATTTTCTTTGATTTTCACAAAAGGAAACACCAATAGGAAGACTTCAACAAGACCTTTGTTTTCTTTGAGATTGGAAAGACATTGTTTAGTGAGAATTACATTATGAATAAAGAACATCGAGAATAATCCACTTCATTGGAAGCATATAAGTATCCTAGTTAAGATAGGATTCTTGTCTCCAGAAGTCAAGCCCTTATTCTTATTCGATTCAGCAACCTGCGTACACAATTTGTGACACGAGTAAACGAAGACAATCTAGTGACTAAATCACGCCCCAAGCAAGTATCACTTGAAACTAACCTCCAACCACCCAGATTGCTTGATTTTAGGACAAAAATATATCATCTATACTCTATCACAGGGCCACAACCAAGTCCTCCTTTTAACACAGTGATAGCCAAAAGCAATGGGAAAAAACGGAGGATGGTTCGAAAAAAGACGAGAGACACTCGGTAGCCATAGATCCCTTTTCCCAGGACACACAGAAACCCGGATTGTCACTGACCTGAGAAGGGACGAACTTAAAAGGCTAACAGAGATCCTGCACATAGATAACACAAGAGCAAGACACACTGATGAGATTGTCAAGCGTCTAATCCACGAGTTGCCAAAGAATATGCGCCGTGACCGGTGGTCAAGAACGAACAGGGATTTGTGCGATGCCCATCAGGGCCTGAATGCAATTCTCATGAACCATTTGTTCAAGCTTGTCCGGAGGGAGGTTGGTCACCACCTTCGCAAGTTTGACGCGTACCCGGACTTGCTGAAGCCTCTCGATACCTTGATCCTGCAGAAACTACAGGCTATACGGGGCATGTGGGAGAAACCTGACCAGAAAGGCCAGGCTATCCCAGAAGCATGGAGCCATGAGATCAGTTGCTGTCAGGGTTGTATGGTGGCCCGGGTTGCGAGTGACAAGAATGCATTGCGCAATCTTCGAATAGCCCTGCTGGCTCGCACGCAGACTCGTTTGAATCATGCTCCACGGAGACTGATGAAATTTGTCGACACTTGTATTGATCTATTCCCTGATTACGTGGATGAGCTGTATGGCACATCTAGTCAGTTTGCATTCATTCTGAAGGACACCCGCAAGGCCTGCAGCAAGGCCTGGGCCAAAGACCCAGCACATGCGGATTCGAGACCCCGACGCCGAAGGCACACCCATCATGACAAAAGTGACAAGAATGGAAAGGGTGCACGTAACCATAGACCGGCTAGTGAATATAACCCAAGAAATAAGTATGTCCAGCCACCACCGCCAATCATATCATCCCACCCCACGGAAAGGTATGTCCCCAAATCTGCGTCATTGTCTCAGTATACTGACACTGACACGGAAGGGCGTAGACAGTATCGCCCGACGTCGAGCCCTTCTAGGAAAGCCCCGACATCAGCGTACCATATGAAGCGAGATCGACGCTCGGCCCCAAACCCGGATCGTGTGACTAGATTCATGGATTTCGCCGATGACGACTATCAAGGCTTAGGGATAAGCGAAGAAAGGCAGGGTGTGAGCACTGTCTATGGGCCTCTAAGGGATTCCCCATCACCTAGCACTGGAAGCACCTTCTCAGGGACCTTGGAGAAAATCGACGAAGTGCTTGAGATGTACAAGGATATGGGCAAGAATTCCCCAGTACACGGGAATAGCGTTGTCCCACCAGAGTGTCGCTCCCCGTCGATCTGCTCCACTGACAGTGAGTGGAGTGATGAAGCTGAAGACCGGAGCAAATCGGAAGGTGGCTCAACAGCGAGGGCTACTTGGAATATGGTGTGTGAACAGTCGAATATGATCTGATCTCCTCTCTCCTAATCACATTCGTTTTTCTGTCTTCGCATCTCATCTAGTCATTTTTGTTGCTGCTCTGGTGCTTTGTCACTTCGTTCTTGATAAATCATTTGCGATTTAAACTTCCTGATGTGATTTTGAGGCTTCTTTGTTATTGTACATCAGGACTAGGCTAGAGTAGGCGTTTGAGATTGGTTCATAGTTCATGATATTTGCAAATGTATTGATTTAACACCGAATACCCAGAGGAAAATGTAAATGGGAAATAATAGACATTATTGACAGTAGGTCATAGAGCGAACCATGTACAAAACATTGAATGGCGCATTCTGAAGTATTAATACATTGGGCCATTGATCCCATATACAAAAAGAAATGACGGAAAGCCCCACAGTCTGGCGGAGACGGCCAGCAGCTCCAGGGACGGGGTTGGGGGATGCAAAAAAGGAAAAGAAAGAAAAAAAAAATCAACACATGCTCGGGCTTCATTTCATCACGGCTTTAGTTGTGGAGAACACTTCCAGGAACCCCATGACTCGGGCCCTTGAGACTATCAACAGTCTTTCGGCGCAGCCGAGTGCGGGTCGCTGGTCCCTCAGGTGATACCACTACCCGCTCATGTTCACGTTCCTCGGTCACAGTCACAATCGGCGTTGTATCAAGCGCTTGGGCAGCATCAAGATCTACCTGCTTCTGGGCATTTTCTCGAGCTCGCTCGTAGCGCAGCTTGACCTCACCAGACCATTGAGTGCCAAGAAGGTGGTCCCAGAAGGTGAAGAAAGGCTGGGAGAAATTGGTCTTGATACCCCAGCTTTGGTGATGAATATCGTGGTAGGCGGCATTGTTGGAGGTAAAATGCTGCAGCGGATCCCAGGGGAAGGCATAGCCACAGTGATCATCGACGGTTTTGATAGTCGACATTGTAAAAAACCACATGGCCTGGCGGGTGGTCATGCCGGAGACCAGGAATCCAACACCAGTGCCAGCCGTATCCAGGAGGAAACCCTCAAATGGGTGGTTGTAGAGGGCACCAAAAGCATAAGGAACGTAAAGACGGTGGTGACGGGAGTGGAAAGTCACTGATAGCTGGTTAGTATGGAACCGTTTGACTTCAAAAATCATCAAGACATACCGTAAAGCCACCGGTTCATATGCATAGCGCGGTGAAGAAAGTACTGCCAAGTATCCACAATCGAAATCGCCAGTATGAACTGGAGGGTTGGTACAAAGTACCAGTATATGAAACTCGCAACTGTAAGTTCCCAGCTGGTGAATGCGGGCATCACCGCCTCAACTCCGTTATCCAGGATCATGGACTGGGTCACACCGGGGTATGATCCACCAGCCAGAGCTCCCGCCAACATGGTATAACCGCTTTGGGACACAGATTTCCCAAGACTAACAGCGTCAACTCCAACAAGAGCTAATAACGACGGAATAGCCTTTTGGGCAATCCGCAATCGCTGCGCCCACACAGCCACATCATATTCCTCTCTGCCAACGGTTTCCTCGGCATCAAAGTACAAAAAAGCAAGACCGGCCACTGTTTGAATCACCTGTTGTAAAACAACATCCCGTACAACTTCCCAGCGGGTCACTTTGTTTCGTTTCAGGACCTCTGCAGGAGTGTGGAGCCGGTATTCGACGAAGTAATCATTCACATCGAAGTAATGATAGATCATGGACATGCCCCAGTAAGCGACGACGGGCAATATGAGCGAAAGGATATTGTCAGGAAGAGGAGCAAGCAAATGTTCTCGTACGGTCAAGGTGTAGGATGGTAGGGGAGGAAGGTCGAACGCGACAGATGCGTTCACAGCCATGATGGGAAAAATGGCGATGCGTTGAGTTTTTTCTTTTTTTAGTAGCACCACACCAAGAATCCAAGAATGACGATCAAAGGAGTTCTCGAAATCTTTGTCTGAGATATCGGAATGGTCCCCAAGATTAGAAGTTAGGGAAAGAAAAGAGAGTAGTAAATGTCCGCAATTTGCCTACCACGGCCAAAGTCCGGATGCTGACGGGTAGGCGCGACACAGGATGATTCTGATCAGCCAGAGACCTCTCGGCGCTGGCCGGTACAAATAAAAGGACGTTCTCAAAAAGGAGAAAAAAAGACAAACAAAATAAAGAGAACCAGATAATGATGAAGGAAAGAATAGTTGGGAATGCTCGAAGATAAAAAGATAAACGTTCAAAGATCAGGAGACGCCCGGATTCGGGTGGCGCGACAGGCGGAGCCAAAATCCCAATACAGTACCCGTGTGAACGGTATATTTGATTAGAATGGCGGAGTAAAGTGATTAAATACAGTATGGTATGGTAGCAATGTATCAACCTTGGAAATAGGCTGATGATGACTAAGTTATATACTTCCCCCCGACTCGACAGCCTTCCAGATGAAAAATGAACATGAATTGATCTCAATTAAATCATTTGGTATGATTTTACTCTTTAATGCTCAAGTTCTTACATCTCCGAACTATTCTTTTATATATAGGCCAAGTTTGACCCTAAAAATTGACATTGTACCCTCGTAAAGTACCTTGAAGTACTGAATACTGCGCTAACAAAGAGCCAGTGGCGGTGGCCCAGACTCCCTGATACCCGTAGGGTACAAACTGAACAAACATCCATTTCCCCCCGCTCTATTTTTTTTTTTTTTTTTTTTTTTTAGAGAAACGTCGTCCCCCCACCTTGAAAAGTGTTTTTTTTTTCTTCCTTCCCGTACCACTTTACTTTCTTACACCGTTCGTCTTCTTAACATATAATTCCGCCAAAATGATTATCTACACTGTATGTTTCTTAAGCTCAGATCCTTAGAATCTGGGAATCTTCGTTTGCATGAATCTCAACTGACACAACCCAGGATATCGTTTCCGGTGACGAGATCGTCGCCGATACCTTTAACCTCGTCCCTAACAAGGACTTCGACATCCTTTGGGAGTGTGACTGCCGCAAGTACCTGAAGCGTGCCAACGAGGACTTCCAGCTTGAGGGTGCCAACCCCTCCGCTGAGGACGCCGAGGAAGAGGGTGGCGAGGGCGAGTCCACCATGGTCCACGATATTGAGGACCAGTTCCGTCTGGTCTGGCTCAAGGTTGAGGACGGCGCCAAGCCCTCCAAGGAGAGCTACAAGACTCACATTAAGTGTATGCTCGCCTTTTGGTCTTTACTTGGTCTGCGCAAATGACTGACTTTTGTTCTTTAATATAGCTTACCTCAAGAAGCTCCACAAGAATGTGGAGCCCAAGTTCGCTAAGGCTGATGATCCTGCCGCTGCTGAGAAGGAGTGGAAGGTCAAGGCCGCCGGCGCTATGAAGAAGATCCTTGCCAACTGGGACAACTACGATGTTCTCATGGGCCAGTCCATGGACGGTGATGCCATGTATGTCTTCACACTATACCCAAGACTTTACCCTTGAAATTTTAAAAAACTGACTATTTCTAGGCACGTCCTGATTGACTTCCGCGAGGATGGTGTTACCCCCTACGCTACCGTCTGGGCTGACGGTCTCAACCAGGTGAAGGTCTAAGCGGCTCTTGTCATTCTAAATAAGGCGATAGTAAAAACGTACGCACCCTACACAAACAAATACGTCTTGGTGGAAGAATTGCGAGTTAGAGCTTAGACGCAGCGGCTACTTATTCCCCTTCTCTGGGCCTGTCTGTTCTAATAATTCTCTCGCATTTTTGTATCCCGAGTTAGTGATCCATTGGATCCTCAAGAGTTACGCTTCATGAAATCATCTGTCATGTCTTATTTTTTTCCCTTCTTTTTTTAGCTTCACTGTCAATGATCTAGTTTCATACTTACCAGTAACGCACTCTTGACTTGTGAGAAGGGTAATTATTACGAGGCCCGTAACCACTTGTTCTTTTGGGAAGGGACATTTTCATATCACAAAATGAGTAAAGCGAGACTAATCATTAAGTAGGTGTATATATTTGATGGATATACCTATCGCACCTAACCCCATCTCTACACCGAGTATACTAAGAATATCCGGGTTAATTAGCTCAATCGTTTCGATTCCAGGACGGGAACTTCCCTTCTGGAGAGGAGTTTGGAAGTGGAAGGCCATTACTATATGAAGTAGGCATGTCGACGGGACTAGCACCATGAAATGTTGAGGCGGTTCCAACATGGGTGAAATCAAGACCGGCAACAGGATCCAATTCCATCAGATCGTCTGCAACAGGCAGATGTTGCCCGAACACTGCATCCCACTGGTCCCAATCGAAGTTGACGTTGGGATCAACCATCGATGGCGGCGTAGGAATCCCCATGGGTAAAACATTAAGAGACGCAGGATCCATGGAAGAGATGCTACCAGAAGCAGCAATATTGGGATCTGAATGCGTAACATGTGGGGTGGGGGCGGTGGATACAGGAGATTTTATCGGTGGAGGCGCACCAAACAAGGAGTCTGTATTGGGTGAGGAGGCGTCAATGCGGGGAGATATAGGATTATCGGCGGCGTTAAGATGGCATTGGGAATGTGAGACTGGGGGCAGGGGTTTATTCCGGGGTTCGTATTGGTATCGTAGGGGACTTCTAGTAGCACCGGGAGTGACAGGATTCGAGAACTTGTGGGAGCGGGTGATGTCGTGTAATGTTTTGACGAAATCGCTGGGTTGGGGGTTGTACGCTGAGGGATGGCCGGCCGGTACTGAACCTGGAGACTCGGTCTGAGAGGGACCCGAGTAAGGGGAGCCACAATCCCCGTGAGGGTCAACTGACGAAGCAACCCCGGCCTGGATCTGGTCTTGTTCGGTCCAGAGCATTTGGGGATTGAGGCCAGCCTTTTGCCAAGCCTTTTGGCGAAGGCGGCGGATCATATCCCAGGCTTCACGGCCACCATCCTTCAATGGTCGTTGTGTTGAGACACCGTCTTCACCACCTACAACACCTCCGTCTGGGCCAGAAAGTGCGAGTATGCTGTCGATGAACGCGCGGGACTTGGATGCTTCAGCGCTGTAAGGTCGCTCATATAGATCGATAAGCATGATCCTGTATCTCATTAGCGTGGTTACTGACATCGCATGATGGAGTCATACATAGTAGCATGCATTGGTTGATGATTACTAAAAAGAAATATCAGCTGCCCGTCCCGTGATTCTTGCCCGCCATACCAGAGAAAAAAGCTTACCCAGGCCAGCTCCAATGAAAGGGCTGGAAATCAGGATCCGTTGCGAGTTGGATGAATTTTTCCATGAAACCATGGCAATGGCGAAGTGCACTATTAATATTAGCACAGGAGACTCATTTCCCGATGGTGTGTGCAAACCTCTGGCGTGCCGCTGGCCAAATTCGGCTGCGAGCGTTTTTTAGAAAAGGCTGGTAGGCCACGCAGAAGGCCTAGAGGAAAGTCAGTTGGGTACGAAACTAGCAAAGATCGAGGAAGGGCACCTTGTCAATATACAAAGAAAGAATGATCTTCGCCCATTTATGGAAGCAAACAAGCACTGGTGAATGATACTGTTCTGGGCATCCAGTGGAACCTTCGCCTGGAAGCTCCATGTCGGAAGAGCCACCACCAGGAGACTTGGATGTGGAAAGAACTCGGCCTGCCGTTGACGGGTTATCAATATCTTGTCCCTCTGGAATCCTGTTGATAATGGAATTCAGCTTCAGCTGCAAGTCAAGAAGTATGGACCGGAGCTCCTCCATGTCCTGCCCTGTGACAGGCTTTGTTCCAAGTTGGATTTTCAATATTCGGCGGATAGCACCTGGTCATGGTTAGCCTGTGGATTTCGAAACAAAAAAAGGGAACCCACGAGCCATGGTGTATTTCCCTCTTGCGGTGAGGTAGTAGACGTTGACCATTGATGGTCCGCCGCAAATATTAGGATCATCTGGATTATCGGGCAGTCGTTCCCGCGAACTAACTAGTTTCATGTAGGAGTCTGCAGCAGGGCTACCTAGCATCGTATCTTTAATTTCGCTCGTCTCGCACACATCCCAATAATTCTCGTCGCTGACAAGTGGAGGAAGACCGCTTGACATCGCAACCACACAGTCCATATGCATGATATGCCACCATAATCGGCGCCGGTACTCAGCTTCACATGGCTCTATGCCAAACTTAGCTGGGTCCCGATGTAAGCCCATGGTTTGCGCAACCCTCATTGCGAGACTGACAAAGAGACTACTCGTTAAAGGCTCTTCCTCTTTCGTGACAATTGTTTGTACAATGAGATAAGCAGCGAGGCCCTGAAGTGAAGGGCTACGCGGAAATTTTATTTTCGTAAGCCATCTCGTAACTTCCTCAGTATATATTGTCGAAAGGGCCGAGCGCGACGACACATTGAATTCAGCTTTGATTGTTCGCATCGAAATCGTCACTGAACCGCCATACCATATCGCGTACAATAATGGAATAAATGATGGATTTGGGCACGGCTCTCCAGAATAACTGCTGCAGTCATACCAATCCCAGAAGGAATTGTAGAGCTTGAGGACAGTCGGAGGGTGAATGATAGGACTGATGGCGTGTACACCGGAGATGTATCCTTTGTAAAGAATATGGCTTTGCCGTCTCGTCGGAATGTGATCAAGCATTTCTGGCTCCACAACCTTTTCATTGACTGAAGGAGAGTCACCCGAAGGGAAGATTATAGATTGTTGGAAGGAACAAGACCTAGGAGTGACTGATGGTGTCGAGCTGCCTATTGATTCTCTCCATGACTGCTGACCATTGGCATGCGAATATGTTATGTCTTCGTTATTCTTTTCAGGAATAGACTGGTCATGTGAGCTATTTTGGTCTCTCAGTAATTGATTGAGCTCATTGATCTAAATGCAAGTTAGTCAAAATTGTCCACCAGGGGGAAAATCCAGTGAACAGCATACTTCGCCAGAAATATAAGCCCAATACGTGGTACCGACATATCTAGTTACTAATTAGAATTTGTGTTTTCCAATAAAGCAATTTTGACCAACCTTGACTTTCCACCATCCTCTAGACTCAAATGACCTAAGTTCAAACTGCCAACCGGGTCTACTAGATCGGTAGCCTGACCAGATGGGATCGGGAATTCATCACTGCTCGACTCTGCAGCAATGCGACGTGGGCTGGTAGATCTTGACGGTGACTTTTTTCCGTTCAGACCATTGCTCAGTCGTGGGTCATCCAACTGTGCGGGTTCCACTTTCGCATCCGGGGCCGTTGCCTGCATTCCTACGTCCTCGAGGGTTTGATCGTTCCCCCCGAGGCGCTCAATCATCGACATAAGTTTGTCGAGTCGCGATTCAATGGCACTTGAGTCGGGCTTTTCACCTGTCGACTCTACCTGCCTCAAGTGTCCATAAATTGACTGGAGCTCATCGACATCCTCTTCCAATGTCCTGGGCATCTTTCTTCGCCGTTTAACACCATACACATTCTGAGAGGAGCCATCGCGCTTTTCCTCATCTTTTCGGGACGAAACATCATATATACACTCGGTGTTGTTTTTCACGCAGTTTCCACATATCGGATGTGTCTAGAAAAAGATATATGTTAGATTGCAACAGAGCCTTCGGTATTAGGGGCAATCAGATTAAATCTACCTTATCACATTTGACCTTCCGACGCCGACACGTGTGACAACTGTAACTCGCGCGGTTTCGGGTGATCTGGCGACCTCCAGCCAAAGATCCTCTCGATGATGACGGAGTGAATGAGCTGCTAGGGATGGGGGGACCCGATATGGGCTGAGTATTGGGCGGGCTCTGGTTCATAGTCCCGGCAAGACATAAAAATGAAATTGCTATTAGCATGGAATCACGCAAAAAAAAAAAAACGGCGTTTCGCCGACTGCGGGGGTTCCTGACGTTATCGGAGATCGAGGGGGACGGGCCAATGATACCACTCCATCTCGAGGTCAGCATGTATGCCTTAAGCTGCCTGAATCTGCAGGCAAAATACATTTTCATTTGCTTTCTTCTTGCTCCTGTCACTAACCAGTACTTGTTCCAAATCCATGGATGCTAACATGAATAATTCCAAGACAAAAGCACTCCGTATATAATGGCGGTCTGGATAGTCCCATTTTAGTTTCAGCCTGATAGCCAGCCAATCCCAAACCCAGAACGCCAGATTTATGTACCTAAGAAGCGCTAAGGAGTCTAAGAGTTGCTGTAGAAGAAGAGTAAGCCTGACTTTTAAACACTAGTGTTGGGGATATCTCTCTTGTTTTTTATACAATCTCCCTCCCCCGCTCCTCCCCACCCCCAACCTCCAAAATAGCAATCTTAGATATCAATCATCACCAAGAAAAGCAACTAGGGAAAATCAGTCACGGCTGTGGGATCCTGTCGAAGGAGCTTCAAGATGCCATGGAGAAATACAAAGTCGTTGAATATTGTGGTACATCGATCCATAAAAGCTAGAAGTATTTGGAAGAGGATTTCCTGGGAGCCCCAAGACATAGGCGAGCTTCGAGGTCGGTTATTATCCAATGTGACATTGCTCCAGTCATTTTTGAGTGTTATATCAATGTATAATATTCCCCTTCCTTTTGTTCCTTCTAGAACACCCGAGCAAGAACTATATATGACTTCCATAGTTAAACTATGACTGCAACACAACAGGCCCTAGAACAGCTCCACAACCGACAAGAAAGCAATGAACAATTTTGCATTCTTGACCGGCTGTCTGGCGTTGATTACAAGTTACAGCAGGGCGATCTTCTTGCGCGATGGCAAGAAGGAACTGGACAATGGCTTCTCGCTTCAGAAGAATACAAACATTGGCTTAGTACACGCCGATCCACTCTACTTTGTCCAGGTATTCCATGTGCGGGAAAGACCATCTGTTCTGCTATCCTTGTCGATGATTTGGCCACGCGTTTTGAGGATAAGCCAGATGTCGGCATAGCTTACATTTATTGCAACTTTAATCGTCAAGGTGAATAGAAAGCTCAAGACTTGCTTTCAAGTCTATTGAAACAAGTAAGCCAGAAGAGAACCACTGTTCCGGATACAGTCAAGGACCTCTACAAGCGCTACAAACCATATTGACGAGTCCACGATTTGATGAAATACCGAAAGCTCTGCACTCAGTCGTTTCCATGTATTCCAAAGTGTTCATTGTCATCGATGCTCTCGATGAGTGCCAAGCCAATTGCCGTACGATATTTTTGGACGAGCTTATCAAAATTCATGCTGGGCCTGGAACAAACATCTTTGCCACGTCAAGACCTTTGGAAACGGATACTTTGTTCGAGAGGGGCTCCATTCTGGAGATCTAGGCCCCTGAGGACGACGCTAGACGGTACCTTGATTGGATTGCCGAGCGGGTCTGCCCTGTTAAGTATACCCTGGACCATATAAATGACACGGGGGATATACTCTTGGCATTTGTGTGGAAGTTGCAAGATTTGCTTTGGCGAGAGCGGTTGAACGCTCGCTTGTTCGTTGAATTGGATGAAGGCAAGAGGGCTAGTATTCCCGTGAGTTGGCAATTGCGGCTGAATTTGATGTGTCTAGGTTCAGTTCCAGTGGTCTAGGAAGTTGTGAACGAGTGCTTGGGATTATATATGCTCTTGGCGAGGACTACTTCAAACGTGCTGAAACAAGCTGAGGGAAATGTCTCGCGTTGAAACAAATTGCTAATTGAGATTTGACTGCCTTTTTTTGGTCCTTGCAGACCAGATTGTATTACATAATTTCTGTAGCCTATCTCTTTAGAGGGAAAGAATCAAGACAAACGTCTTTATCAACAAGGAGAACACATGAATTAGTGAAGTGGAACCTTTTGAAAAAAAGAAACATCCTCAAAAATTCTTCACTGGACAACAGAGAGCTATCTCTGTAATATAGGTTCCAAAAATTAGGGCGAAGGAGATGAGAGCAGAGCCCTTCATTCTTCAATATGCTCCTGGCGACGACCGGGAGTACCCAGACACGTACAGTCTGTTTCCGCAGAGGTCATAGCAAAAGCCCATCAAGCATCAGAAGGTAGCTGGTCAGTAGCCCGCGTATACTTGCTTCGTGCCTTTCACAGCCTAGCCTGGGCCGCCATCGGAATCCCGCGAGAGCCCTTAGGGTCCCCCATTTCACTGGACAACAGTAGACATATGTTGAATATGAATCTGAAGCTGAAGAACATTTCAAAAAGTTCAAGGCTACTCAGCAGAAACCACGATGTGCAAGTGTAGAGACCCTGAGTAGTTGAAAAAGGAAGAAAAAAGAAGAGAGAGAAGTAGGAGGGGGCGGGTATTTATATTCACCTTGTGGCTGAGGGTGATGGTGGTGGGGGACGAGTTGACCAAAAAGGAAGGAATCCTAGATGATGGGGAAGGTACATGTACGAAGGTGTATAACGACCAAGGTCTAAATACCTGACTTTCCAGGCTTGCTGCCTTGAGGTGCCTAAGGATGCCTTGTTATTTAAGACTGCCAGAAAACTAAGCTCAATAAAATGAAGCTATTCCCACCATACAAAACAGCATACACCCTCTAGTCCTAGCGATGAGTGCGTTCTTACTCTCTCTCTCTCTTCTCCATTCTTTACCTTCACCACTATATGCCTCACTACTTCACGCATACCTCAAGGCAAACCTCCGTCCTCTAGCCTCCGGACCGTTCGCTCTAATAAGGGTATTCCTTCAGTAGCGAGAATCCGGAGGATATCATCAGTGTTATGTCGAGGGAGAAGCTCCTGGACACGGTCGTAGATATCGGATTTTTTGGTACGTGATGGAAGTTACCATTGTCTCTTCGGCCCAAACATTCTAGAGACGAAACAACAGCCAATCGGATGTATTCTACATGGAGATCTGTAACGTCTGTGAGATTATTTAACAAAACATACATATGCACTATGACATCCATAGTACCAAAGTCTGTATTGTTTCGACTGATCACAAGTATGACCAATTTGGTCTAAGGCTGAGAAATGTTGAGAATCCCAAGTGTATATTTAATTTTTTAGCCTAGTTCTTCAAACTAAAAGAATACGGTGGCTGAATTAGATAGTCTACGCGCCAAGGTCACGTTGTTCCATTGGTGAAGATCGTCGATCAGATCATCGACAGATCTACATCCATAGTACTGTGTATGTATCCCCCCTAAAGTATGGAGTACCCCGTAGTAATACTAGCCAAACTACCCAAATTTTGATAATCAAGTCAAAGCCGAAGCTACATACTCACAGGTCTAATTCTGGCAGAGCTTGGCACACAGCAAGGGGGAAAAAACGCAAGTTTGGAGACCGAAAACTGTACTAGTCATGAATGCTACCGGTGGATGGTCATACAATGCAGGGATCTGGCTTTACGGCGCATCTATTATGTATACCTGGACATCTTTGATTTCAAACGCCTTTTCAAATATGTCATCGGTCTAGCAAGATCACCGAGATGGCCCCCTCTCCGCTACGAACCTTTTTTCAGCAAGGCGAATATCATGTATAAACCGATCTGCGAGGTAACAACTGCAACACCTATCAACTGACTTCTAAAGGCTACTTAAGTGGATAGCTGGCCGATATAATCTAAAACGCCCCCTACACCTATAAAACAATAACGACAAACTAGCTTCGTCCAACAGCCCAAGCCGCGGTAGCATATTGTCAGGGTGGTGATACCGGTATATTTTGCAGGTTCCGATACAAATCTAGCAAATATAATGACAGGACTGGTGTTGGAGAGCAAATACATGTTTTTGAAGCTCTTGAAGGTCTGCTTGCTGTTGATTTTGGCGGTCCTTTGACTTCTTCTGCTGGTAGAAGCAGTGAAGGGAATAGCGCCGCAGGAACTAGTGAAGAAGACACTAGCACCAAGCTGCCAACCGTACATATCGATAATGGCGATAGAGCTGGTGCACTTATCTTAAAATTTTTATTTTTCTACTAATGTACATATGATGATTCGTTAACCGAGCTTTTCTTGTTGCTACTATTTGATGAAATTCACTCGCTAGACCGTAGCAAAACCGAAAGTCCCTGCTTAAAGCCCAGCCAGGCAGGCTATCTATCTTCTTGTCTGCGACTATCCACCGACATGTATTTATCAATATAGCATACTGAACTACAATATACATTGACGGAGAGCACTATTCATGAAGGAAGAATAAGTTGCTCTTCCTTTGGCCAAGTGGCAATCGTAGTTGCATCACCGGTCAATGTGAATGAAAGCACGGCGGAGCGCTCATTGTTCAGCGCAAGTTCATACTTGCCAGGATACACTCTGCGGTTACCATTCTCATCAGTGCGAGCCACGTTGTCTAGTGAGATCGGAATTGTCATGGTCTGACTGGCATGGGGCTCAATCCCGCCGAGGCGATCAAATCCAACCAGCCACTTGTTGGGATGCGGGCTCGGTCCAGCTTTTGTGTTCACAAATGCCATAGCTGTATAGTCAGAAGTGACAGTACCAGTGTTCTTGACTTCAATGGTGTAGTTCATGAATGGGGCTTGTTCGACGACTTTGTATCCGGTATTTGAGCGTGAGAGAAGCTTCACAATGTCAAAGGAAGCCCCATTGTTGGCTCTGAGGGAGTGCGCGAGCGATGCTTTGAATGTTGTGTAGAACAGCCCATGGCCAAATTCGTACACTGGCTTGCCTGTATACCACATGTAGGTCTGCCCAGGGTTGCTGCCCTTGGGGCGCAAGCTCATCTCGGTAGCAGGGAATTGAAGAGCATATTCAGCAGGGTATTGAGTGACTGTCAGACGACCAGCGGGTGCACGCTTTCCAGTGAGAATATCCAGAATTGCAGGACCTCCAGATTGTCCCGGATAGCCACCCCAAACCAGGGAGTTGACGTTTTTGTTGGCCTTGAGAGACGAAGAATCCACTTGACCACCGCCCATTTGTAGAACAACTAACGGCTTACCCAATTTACTCAACTGCTCGATCAGCTGGAGCTGATTACCAGGCCAGGTGATGTTTTCGCGATCCATTCCCTCTGCCTCGACGGTGTTGTCAATTCCACCGGCGAAGATAATCACATCAGACTTCTTCGCAGCCAACAGAGCAGTTTTGAACCCAAAAGTAGATTCCGAGGAGATATTAGTGCCAAAAGCATAGTTAACCTCAAGGTTCGAGGCTTGTAGGGCAGCGAGCGGGCCGGTGAGATAGGGTGCTGCGCCATAGTAATTTCCTTGCAAGGTAGTTGTCACATTTGCCCATGGACCAATCAATGCAACACTTCGGGTGTGCTTGGACAGTGGTAGAGTGCCATCGTTCTTGAGAAGGACAATTCCTTCAACGGCAGCCTCGTATGAAATATTCCATGCATCGGTGGTAACAACGTCAGACCAATCAAGACCTCGGTATTTACTGTTGTTGTCATCAAAGTAGCCCAGACTTGCAAGGTTAGAATAGAAACGAGTGACAGCACGTTCAATTTTACTGCGGGAGATCTCGCCCTGAGAGACTGACTCATTCAGATAGAGTTGATATGTCATCCCGCAGTCAATATCTGTGCCTGCCTGGATACTTTGCGCCGCAGCGAGAGAGGCACTGGAGGCATATCCGTGGGGATTGAAGACATTATAGACAGAGTCGCAGTCGGAAGAAACATAGCCATCCTCGACAAAGTTCCAGGTATCACGAAGCAGAGTCTGAAGCAAGAAAGAATTGGCCGACGAGGGAACGCCATTGACTGCGTTATAAGATGACATCACGCTATGAACTCTTGCATCTCTCACTGCCGTGATAAACTGAGGGGTGTAATAGGCAGCGAGGTCGAATGAGCTGATGCTCATATCGTTTCCCAGTCTTGAATGGTTACCCCAATTCTCGAGGTCGTAGCCAGCGAAATGTTTAGCTGTCGCAGCTAATTTCAGGTTCTTGGGGTCCAAGCCACCCTGAATCCCTGTTATGTACTCAAGTCCGTAAATTGAGCAGAGTTGGATATCCTCTCCTGGAGTTTCCTGTCCACGGCCCCACACTGGATGGCGGAAGGAATTGATGTTAGGTGCATACACGTCCAGCCCGTATCGACCCCCATTGTTGAATGCCCTGCCTTGAGTTGATATGATGTCACCGATTTGATTGATCAAGGTGCGGTTCAAGGCAGCCATTGTGAGGATGGGGGATGGGAACGAGGTAGCCCAGCTGTATTCCCCGGACTCGGTGAGATTTGCTCGGTCCAGGCCATGAAGAGCCTCGCTCCAAACCTGATAAGGTGGAAGTCCCAGACGAGTAATTGCGGGAATGACGTTTCCAGTACTGTTCACAAGCTCTTCAAAAGTGAACATGGAAATGAGGGCTGCAGCTCTGTCGTGAGGCTTTGCGGTGGGGTCACAGACAATTGTCTTGCTGAGAGGGCCATTAGAGCAGTCTGGAAAAGAAAAATCGACTTTGGCCATTGTTTCAGGGTAAAGATTCGGTTGTGACTGGGTATTATAGTCCACATAACTCGTGTTGTCCTGGGACAAAGCGGTCGGCGCGAAGGCCACCAGCAAGGAAAGTAGTGAGATGACAGGCATTTCAGAATGCTGTCTTTAAGAACGGATATTCAGACATCTTTGCTCATGGTGCAGGAATCAATTTATAGTCTGGGGTATGAAGAGGTGCCCCCACACATTTGAACCCAGTTTGGAAGTTTCACAGTCGATCCAAGGGGATTTCACGCGGGGGTTTGAGGTTGGAAGGCATTCAAAGGGAACGTTTTAGCCTGAAATTATTTCCAGTTGCTCGTATATGTCGATCACACCTCTGTTGGCTGTCAAGGGGGTCAGGGGGGTCAGAGGAGGGGGGGGGAGATGCATGGAAATACCTCTGTACTCCGTACTAGGGTAGAGATCAACCGTCGGTTCTGCTTTCCTTGAACTTCATTTTGACCTTGCAATAACTTCAGCAAACACAGCATTAATGTTCTCATATGATTTCGAGAAAGTGATCCTACATAAAGAAGTGTGAGGGTTGAAGTCACAATTAACCTCCACTTAGACAGAACAAGCTACTTGGTATTCAAGCCATCCGCTGAAGAAACGTTGGAATGATCCGAGGATTTCCTGGGCGAGTTTAGCCTGAAATGAGGGCCCCTCACATTAATTGACGCATCTCTCCATCTCTCCATCTCTGTATACTGCCATCCTCATAAGAGGTCCAAACCCCGCAGGACCGGGTAATATGAGCCAAATGTGTCCGAAGTTTTACCGATGTAGGTCTACTTTGTATGGCAATTAGAGAGAGACGAACTGCCCTAAAATTAATGAAAGAAGTACGTAAGCCACGAGACTGCAAAACTTGTGAACAGATCATGATACAAGAATACGACCGCTATGAATGCAGACCAACACATAACCACTCATAAAATACAACATTTGAATACATCGCAAACACATATCAGAACAGACTAGCCACGCTTGACCTCTTGCTCAAGCTTGTCCAAAGCCTTGGCGTATTTGGGCTTGAGCGATTCTAGTGCGTCGGTCTTGATCTGGACACGTTCGATGTTCGAGGTACGCGTGATCCTGCCGTCCACACTAGCTGCGATCTCGTTGGCAAACCAGCGGCCCTCGCGGTGAGCAACCAAGGTCCACGCAGAGCCTGTGCGGCCGGCGCGGGCGGTACGTCCAACTCGGTGAACGTAGGTAGTAATGCTAGTCGGGATATCGTAGTTGATCACATGAGTCAAAGATTCCAGGTCGAGACCACGAGAGGCACGATCAGTAGCAACAATCACTGAAATACGACCTTGTCGGTAAGCCGTCAATGTCTTGCGGGATGCAGAGGATTTGTTGGATTTAATGATGGTTCCCACATGCTTGGCCAATGCGGGATGCAGAAGGGCAATGAGACGTGCAAGTCGGGAGGCAGACTCAGATGATTTGGTGAAAACCAGAACGGTCTTACGTGAGGGTGAGGGAATGACTTCCATAGCATCGGATTCCGAGTCAGATGAGTCGGTAGAGTCTGAAGAATCCGAATTCGAGTCCGAGTCTGACTCCGAGTCTGACCCAGAAGATGAAGTGTCATCATCAGACGATTCACCAGAGCTAGTATCATCGTCGCTGCTAGTATCATCATCTGAACTAGAGCTGTCAGAATCGGATGAATCAGACACGGCTGGAGCCCGGTCCGCACTAATCTCAATGTGAGAAAGAAGAAGACGCAGCAGATAGAGCGGCTTGAGAGATCCGTCGCCAACTTGAACAACGTGCTCAGACAGAGTTGGGGGTAAGGCGAAGTGAGCATCTGGATGAATAGCCGATGGGTCTTCTTCGTCGGCAGCATCCTCGGACCCGATGATAACCATCTTGGGGTTAGCCAGGCGCAACGAGTTGAGTTTAGAAATGTCGCGGGTCATTGTTGCACTCAGAATCACTTTTCGAGGAGGCTTAGCGTCAATCGAAAGTCCAAGTTCAGACAGAAGCTTTCCACCAGGCCCAAAGGTCTCGGGGGCCTGCCGGCTGTTCAGCGAGTTCATGACGACATCAACCCACTCTTGGAAGCTTTCGTTCAAGAGACGATCTGCTTCGTCAATCACCAGCCACTCGAGATGCTTGAGGGTGAACCCCTTAGTGTAGCGAATGTGGTCGACTAGGCGACCAGGAGTACAGATAAGAATGTCAACATTCGGCTCAGATCGCTGGATGTGGCCCGGAAGAGACCCGTTAGAGTCAATTGCCTCACTGACACAATCTTCCAGGCTCAAATTCATCCAGTCGTTTCCTTTCAACCCATCTCGCTGTTGCCGTTGAACAGCTGGGTTGTAAACCTGGTCCACGCGCATCAAGAGTTTCTGCTCGTCTTTGATAGCAACGTTACCGACTGCGCTTCCGATATGAAGTCTGGACCCAGAAGCACATAGTTCGCAGGATTCGCGAGCTTGTTTCACCAGCTCTCGTGTGGGAACTACAATCAACCCTCTAAGCCTAGAGGCAGGTCTCGGCGGCAGAGCGGTCACAAGGGGGAGAACATAGGAAAGTGTTTTGCCGGATCCAGTCGCTGCAGAGATACAAAGATCTCCTGGATGATTTTGCTCTCCTTGCAGAAGGAGGGGAATGACTGTAGATTGTACAGCAAATGCTTCGTTGTAATTCTGTTGTTCGAGGATTTTAAGAAGATCTGGCTTGATTCCGAGCTCAGAGAATTTCTTTGTGTCCTGAGCTGATTTGCGCAACGGATTAGCCAGCCAGGCGGGGAGAGATGAATATGTTGGGATTTGCTCTAGCTCGGGTGGGTTTTCAGGCTGAGGTAGTCGTTCAAGACCCTGTGCGTAGACAGCTTCCACAGCAGGTGTCTCATCTTCAACACCTTCGGGCTCAACTTTTTTGGCTTTAGCGCTGGAGACGGTTTTCGTCCGCTCGAACTTTGACATAATCCCCGAATGCTTGTTCTTCAATTTGCGTTCTTCGACTTCCGGCGCTTCAACTTCTTCATCGTCAGCTCTTGTAATCACAGATGGAGCCGCAGCACCCAATATGTCATCCGTTCCAGGGCTCTTTCGCTTGCTCTTTTTCGATTTCCCTGCCGTTTCGCTGTTGCCGTTGCGCGAGTCTGCAAAAGTCGCTTTTCTGCGGTCTGACGAGAGAGTACTTTCTTTCCGGGACGTTTCCGGGGAACTCGATCCTTGAAGCGCATCTTTGAGATGCTTGCGCTTCTTGATGCTGCCATCATCTGTGATCTCTGCAATCGGCAAGCTTTCGCGTTTCTTGTGCTTCTTCGTTGGCGTGGGAGTGGCTGCAGGCTGAGAGCCATGGGGATCTCTCTTGCGCTTATGAGATTGAGCGGGTTTGGGGGTCACGTCAACCTTCGTAGAGGACTCGAGTCCTGAATTTTTGCCCATTCTCATGTAATTCCGCTAATTTTGGAGTTGGTGTTGTATGTCTCGTGGGGGATCAAATTCCTTTTCTCTGAATCTTTCATGCCGGCAAAAGACATAATAGCACCACCGCCCTAGTTACCGCCCTGCTTATCGGACAGCTTCGAGGATGGATGTCTCCAGCTTTGTATTTGTTGGCTTGGATGGACTGGTGTTTTGGGCAGCAGATCTGTTCGCCATGGAAAGGAATTTGACACGAAGAGCAAATTCGACACCTCGGAGTTCTGGCCCCGAGAACCACAGCCACGATGCCGTATAACATCGCGTCAGTATTTGTCCTATCCGGTCGCGATTACTTGCTAACGTCGTTATGGTTATAGAATGGTCAGTGACTTCTTTTTTCCCCAGTCAGGTATGCTTCATTCTTTTCCCTACAGTCTACAAAATCCCTGACTTGTTTAGGTGGAGTTGAGAGTCACATATACCAATTGTCGTCCGTAAGCACACTACCTTGTTGCTCCGCATGCGCTCTTCTTAATTGCTTCTCAGAAACTCATCGATCGGGGACACAAAGTCATTATTATTACTCACGCGTACAAAGGACGCACCGGAGTCCGTTACCTCACCAATGGACTAAAGATCTACCACGTCCCTTTTTTTGTCGTCTACCGCGAAACAACATTTCCTACCGTCTTCTCCTTCTTCCCCATATTTCGCAACATCGTCATCCGAGAGGAGATTGAGATAGTCCATGGCCATGCCAGTTTGAGTAGCTTCTGTGGAGAGGCTATTCTCCATGCGCGTACTATGGGGCTGCGGACTGTCTTCACGGACCATTCCCTCTTCGGATTCGCTGATGCGGCATCGATTCTCACCAACAAATTGCTCAAGTTCACTTTGAGTGATGTTGATCATGCAATTTGCGTTAGCCACACTTGGTGGGTCTCCTGTGGATGTATTACACGACTCAACTAACAACTTGCAGCAAGGAAAACACAGTGCTTCGGGCTTCGTTGGATCCATTAATGGTGTCAGTCATTCCTAACGCCGTGGTAGCGGAGAATTTCTGTCCTTTGTCTCATACTACTCGTGCGCCTGATCAGGGCCTGGGCTCCCCCGCCGACGCTCCAATGTCCCCCAGGCCAATCGGACCCGATGATCCAATCACAATCGTGGTCATCTCCCGACTTTTTTACAACAAGGGCACCGATCTTCTCATTGCATCTATTCCGCGGATTCTTGCCTCCAACCCCAACACTCGCTTCATCATCGCAGGATCAGGGCCCAAAGCAATTGACCTGGAGCAAATGCTGGAACGCAACGTGCTTCAGGATAAAGTTGAGCTTCTAGGTTCGGTCCGACACGAGGAGGTCCGAGATGTGATGGTGCGAGGTGATATTTATCTCCATCCTAGCCTGACAGAAGCATTTGGGACAGTCATTGTTGAAGCTGCTAGTTGTGGTCTTTACGTGGTCTGTACCCGTGTTGGAGGCATCCCAGAAGTTCTACCCCAACATATGACAACATTTGCCAAACCGGAAGAGGACGACATTGTGCTTGCAACCAGCAAAGCAATTGCGGCTTTGCGCTCGAACAAGGTGCGAACGGACCGATTTCATGATCAAGTGAAGATGATGTATTCATGGCGCGACGTGGCTGCACGCACCGAGCGTGTGTACGAAGGTGTTATTGGCGATATTAGCCCAGAGGAGTTTTATGGTTACTATCCAGGCCAGGGCTGGGAAGCCAGTGGAGACCGCGTCCGCAGTTTTGCGCTAATTGACCGGTTGAAACGCTACTACGGCTGTGGCGTCTGGGCAGGCAAGCTGTTCTGCCTATGTGTCGTGATTGATTTCTTAATCTATGTCTTCCTTGAGATGTGGTTTCCCCGAGCCAATATTGATATCGCACGAAGCTGGCCAAAGAAGCCATCGGTGAGTAAATCCCGTGTTCGCTGAGAACAAAACGATCCTCGGCGTAGAGAACAGCGACATACCAATATCTTTCTCTCGGTTCTGCGCCCATCCTACCTGTCTCACACAGCTCATAGCTTCGTCTAACCACCCCCTTCATATCCTCTCGTATTGCACGAATCATTTACATATTCCCATTCATAATACCACATACATAATGTCTACTTTGCGGAGAGTACTTGGAATCATTTATGCCGTAGTTTCACTCCCCTAGATAGTATGAGTAGACGATAGTTAAACCAAACTCCTATCGAATAGACTCCATTGGTATATTAACAGAAAATGTAATGATCATAAACAAACGCCGTTATGCTCCTTGATATGCTGCGCTCGACATCATGTACGAGAATGGTTGGCAGCCCCAAGTTTGAATCAACGCATGACTGGAGGCCTGCCCTCTTTGTTCCACTTGACACGACTTTGTACCCACTCCACAGCCGCCTGGACGCCCGACCCAAGCAGCGCACTGACCGGCAACACGCGACTGTCACGGACGCCGCTTCCTGTTTCTCCTTCAAAAACCTTCCGGACAAGCCCTTCCTTGATACGAACCACTTCCACGCAGTCCTCACGATCCTGTTTATTTGCTAGCACCAGGATAGGAACACCAGCCACGTCGGCATTTTGTAAGACCGACTCGAGAACTTGACGGCATTCGTCTAATCGCCCGAACTCACTGCTGGCCGCATTGATTCCGACATTTTGCTCCGAGAAGGCCTCTGTACTCGTACTCCCTCGTGTGCTGTTGCGTCCTGGCCCTGCTACGGAGCTTGCGCGCCGTGCAAGTCGTGTGATATCGGGATCTTGGCCGACGTCGGAACTGTCGACCACGAAGATGATCGCGTGGCAGCTAGTGTAATAGCTCTGCCAGAGACCGCGCATCGAGATCTGACCGCCAACATCCCAAATCTTCAAGTTCATGTCTGATAGAGATATTGTTGCGACATTCTGCCCGACAGTGGGGACAGTTTTTCCGGGGTTAGGTGCCGGGGCGCCATCGGAACGGGGTTGGTACAACGCCTTGATCTGAGAGAGGAGTGTTGTTTTTCCAGCGTTATCTAACCCAAGGAGGATAACAGAATACTCTGCAGTTTATGATAATCAGCTTGGAAGGTCCCGCGATCAGAGAAAGCGACAGCAGTTACCTTCTTTGCTCGTAGCGGCTAAGTACAGCGACTTGGCCAGGTGATACATGATCGCGTTCCCTGTGGGGAGCTCAAGGCCAAGCGCAATTTCAATTATAGAAAAACGGGATCAAAAGCAGAAATCATGACATCGCAGTCAGTTCTCTGACGTTGAAGCCTCATGTTCCCCGAGGGGCCGCGTTGCAGCCTCATCTATTTTGGGAAATTAGGGCTTAGGGCTGGGCTGGATCCGGGGATCCTCCAATCTGAACTACATCGGACATTTCAATGTACAAAGTACATGATACATACAGTTTATGTTGTGCATTCAACACATTTGACATTTATGATCCATCTCAAAGCTTCAGCAATATGACTAGATAATGATTAACGCTTCCCGGGCAAATACTCCCTCGGGTTCAGTTTCCTCTCTTCATTATTCGGCAAATGGAAAATCGTCGACTTTCCCGGTCTTCTTCTTTTCTCCCCACTTGCACTCCGCTTTCCCAAGGTTTGTCAGCTTCTGATTATTGATCGATACGAAGTGAACCCCCCATTTTGTCTGGGGCATTCAATTTCCTTGAATTTCCAAGGCTACAAATGTCACACCCCTCTATGGCCTTGCTCTCGACCTCTGGTGAGAAGGCAGCGTGACAAGGATCTCACCTGCTCTGATTGGTTGACCTACGTATTCTTTTTTCACTCTATTGCATGTCTATACCAGTATGCCACACGCTCCATCACTTATTTGATATATAAGTCGCTGTCAATGGAGATTGATACTATTATCGTCGGTATGTCTACATGGTTGATGTCCTATGTTGCGGCCATCTGGGACTTTTGCACTTCTTGAGCCTCACATGCCACCCCGCGCTCTTCGAAGTCCTTGCGAAATGGTAACTGATTGAACCGATTTTACCAGGCAATGGGCCGTCATCCATGATCCTTTCATACATCCTCCATGGACATATCCCTTTCTACTCATCTGACCCTCCACATCCTGATCATTTATTGGATGCCAAGTTGAAAGCCGCGCCAGAGATTTTGAACGCCGATGTGAATTCGCTTACAGCACACTTCGATGCCTCACGCCTATCATACTCAACTCAGGCCCTTCCTGTGAATGTCTTATTGGACACACTTGTACGGCCAAGTGTTGACGTGGATGAGCCCGGCTGTATCTCAAATATTGATTGGCGCTCACAGCCTGAAAAGGCTGTCTCCCACCTTGTTTTTGGAAAGCCTCCTAGGCCTGGAGGCCAATGGACAGAGGATCCATGGGGTGCGAACTGGGATATCCAGACATTGAGTTATGCGGCGATGCTGTCTTTACCCGGGTACTCCTTTGCCGACCATCACAAAAAGACCACCGGCAAGGATCTACCATCATATACCAGGCCCACGCGGCGCGAGATCGCCGATTATTTTTCTGCTTATCCGGAGGCTGTATATATCGATGATGCTTTTCGGTGTGGGGAAGAATTGAGGGGCATTTCCCGCACCGCTACTGGATTTTATGTTCATTCTCATAACCTCCACTGCAAGCGCCTGGTCCTGGCAAGTGGAATCTTTTCCGAGATCCTCTCACCAGAGCCAGTGTTACGCCCATTACTTGAGACCAAGTCCTCGCCTAATATCCCACTTCTCGTCGTTGGGTCTGGTTTCTCCGCTGCGGATTCCATCATCTCCGCCTCATCCAACCAAAAGATTTTGCACATATACAAATGGTTTCCGAATGACCACCCGTCCCCCCTCCGGGCCTGCCATCAGCAAGCCTATCCTGAATATGCTGGTGTCTATCGTCTTATGAAACGAGCTGCCCTCACAGCCAAAGCTGCAGGTAAAGATCACCGCCCAAAGTACCGACGCGCGACTTCAACGCCATTTCTTGAAAGCCGGAATTGGGAATGCCTCTATGAGGGCCTTCCTAATGTTGAAGTGACAGCCGTGGAAGTTCATGGCGATCTGGCGACGGTCACATTCCGCCGCCAAGATGGAACTGTTTTCTCTCGGCCTGTGCGCGGCCTCGTGTATGCTGCCGGTCGGCGAGGCAAGCTGGATTACCTCGATCCCGAGCTCCGCTGTGAAGTGTTGGGGCAGGGCAATCAAGAGGATTCAGCAGTCACTGGCCAAACCCTCCGTGCGAAGGCAATTGAGGATCTCGAGGTCGCATCGGGAGTTTACATCATCGGCAGCCTGACCGGAGATTCTCTGGTCCGATTCTCCTACGGTGGGTGCGTCTACACTGCTAGCCATCTGATCGATGGCGAACGGGACAGCCGCAGTGTCTGTAGTAGTTCCTCGTCATCTGCTAAACTACATGGCTCTTCGCTTTCTGTGATGAACGGCATGGATGGTCACCTTGTCTACCCAAATGGCGATGTACCATACCTGACTCGTGAAGATACCTTCAGCAAAATGTCAACAGCCACAGGCCAGCCTCCTGTGCGTGGCTGGTGGGAGACTTTCTCCCGCATGTGGAATTATATAACACGATGAGTGTTTTGATAAGAATATGTTGCATGTATATCACGATCCCAAATGTAAAATTCTAGAAATACTATGAAAAGGCACAGATCTTGTTTCATCTATCTCATTTTCGAGGATTTTGTTCATCACGCCCTCTCTCCCTCAAACTCTTCGACTGCAGTTCGCAATCGAACCTCCAACTTTTCCTTCGATTCAAATTTGCCGAAACTGCTAATAGCAGGAGTAGAATGGGCTTCCCAGCCATTCGCATTAGTTTCTTTCATCCTAATTGGTTGATCAGATAACTTACTCGTGTTCACCTCTCCACCCAACACACTTCCAGCAATCAAATATATGAGTCGGGTCATATTTATCCTTAGCCTCCAAAAGCCCCGCATAATTCGACCCGAAATACGTTTGCTTCCAATCTGGCTCGAGATAATGTGCTTCATTAAAATATGCACCGCCACCAGGGCTCAATTTCTTCAAAGGCTCGAGGATCTGCAAAAAGGCCTCGGCAACACCTGCCTGGTAATCAGCATCTAAAGGCTCTCCCCATTCTCCAACGTGAATAACATGCCACAACGCACTACGCCAAGCAGGATGCGCAGATGACATCTGGCTCTTGTCGAGATTTGAGACTGGCGTTTCCATGACTATTTGGGTTCCAGTGAGATTCAAGTGACTTCTAGCTGTTGCGATGCCTTTTATAACACCATCTACGAGCTCGTCGATAGTTTCAGAGGCATCAAAGACCGCGCGGGGAACCAAGCGCGATGCCAATATGGAGAAGATCCCCGACGGTTCCGTGACCTTGGCATCCGCGGCAGTGACGGTGAGATAGTTGGCGTAGTCGGGGTAGGAAGTATAGTAATTGGCAGAAACGGAAAGATCGGTTCTGTTGCTCAGGAATTGGGCAAATGAGGCACTGGCCGATCTCAACTTAAGGCCATTATCACCATAGGGCAATACCATTGAGATCGCGATCTTCTCTGGGAAGTACTCAAGTTGGCCCGTAACAAGTTGGGCTGACCAGTCGGCCTGATTCTCTGCATGAGCAGTCAAGATCTCGCGGAGAGCAATGTTCTGATTGACATCACTCGTATCACCGATAAAATCGGCTGTGAAGGTGTATGTATGGATGGGCAGGGAAGGATACACTTGAACTCGGTACTTAGTGAGTACAGCAAACGTGCCGCCTCCTCCACCACGCATGGCCCAGAAGAGCTCGGGTTCGTTGCATTGGTTGATTGTGCGAACTTCTCCATCTGCAGTCACCACCTCGAATTCAACCGCATTGTCGGCCATCAAACCATAGGTGGTCGTAAATGACCCAACACCACCACCTTGGGCGAAACCACCGGCTAGTCCGACTGATTGTTCGTATCCTCCGGTGATATCCATTCCTTTCGAGCCGAAGAAATGATATGCGTCAGTTGCAATGACTCCAGCTCCCAACTCCCCCACATTGTGACCGTTGGCCACGGGGCAGTTGTGTGCAGTGAAGTTCGATCTAAACGCAAGAGAATGAAGATTGTGAGTCCAGATGGCGAGCGTGTTGGGAGCTGATGATCGCCCGAAAAAGTCGTGACCAGTGTTCTTCACGCTAATGCGAATGTTGTGGGCATGTGCAAATCTCAGAGCCGCGGAGATATGTGAGGCGTCTCGTACATCCACATAGTATGATGACAATCTCCCAAGCGTGCATGTGTCATAGAGGAGCTCTGATGGTTTGGTTTCCAGTAAAGCGCATCCCGTATTGCCACAGGTCTCCCAGTTCAACCAGTAAGTCTGTCCATAGTGTGTGCCCCTCGGAATACTATCACCGTAGTACTTCTTCACGGCCTTGCAGGCGGCTTCGTCATAATAGAGAGGGTTTTTATAACAAGGGGCCGCGATTGGAACAGTCTCGTACAAATGGCCATCAATGGTCGCATTGAATTGTTGCCATTCTTTCGATGATGGCCAGCACGTTTGACCTGGGCGACAATCATAACCGGGGTCAATGGTAGCTGAGGCTCCCAAGGCAAAGCAAATTGGGATAAAAGAAATGAAATAGAACATACTCGAAAGCTAAAGAAAGAAGCTGGGGTTCTTGCTAGACATCCAAAATTATAACTACTGGCTCTTGGTGCATTTATAGATCACTTTTCGGACCTGACAGCTTATTTTGTTGAATTTCTATTTTATATTAAATTATCATAATCAGCTTCGCGACATTCTCACCGTCAGCAAGTCGAACAACCTTGATGACGTATCCTGCCTTAGTTTTTTCTTAGCGAGTTTAGATTAAGAAGTAAAGTCTTGCGAGTTGAGCCAACAGTACTTACCTAAGGGTATGAGCTTCCTGACTCGTGACTCATGGTGTTCGTAGCGTCAGCAAACCCTTGGAACTCATAGCTTTCCGAAAAGGGCAAGGCTTTCGACGTATTACGCTAGTCCTAATCAGGAAAGGTGGTATTCCGCACGGGAAAATCCGAAGCTTAGATTTGCTTGTTTGGCATCCATTTGCTGTTTATTGCTTCTTTCTGTAAATTGGGGCGTTCAAGACTGCAGCTTGGCTCCAATTTGGGAATGCAATTCAACAGGGCTGAGTTGTCAGGTTAAAGCTACTCATCTTTTTTTTTTTAAAAAAAAGCAAAATTACATAGACCCAAGCATTAGGAGAATCATAACTCAGTATATAAAGCCTCTTCTCGTACGTGGATTGAGAATCAGAATCATCTTTTTTCGGTCTTCAGCTGCTAGATTGGATTCTTGATTCTTTGATAGATCGCCCAAATTTGACTCAATCATGGCTGTTGTCACCACAGAGCACGTTGCCATCGCAGAGCTGATCATCTATATCCCAACGGCTTTGCTCAGCATCTGGGTGGTTATCTGTCATGGATTTCACAAGCAATTAGGCTGGGTTTACTTGAGCATATTTTCAGCTATCCGAGTTGGCGGAGCTGTTATGGAAATCTTGAGCACAAAGAATCCAAATAATGCAAATGACAAAGAATGGGCCTTGATTTTGCAGTCTGTTGGATTGTCACCACTTCTTCTGTCAACATTGGGTCTTCTAAAACGAGTGTGAGTCTAAATCCCATCTATTAGCCTATTAAAGGAGATTATAACTGACCAGCTGATAGATTTGATGAGACATCGCAGCATGTGCCATCAAGCCCAGGCTCTAAGGGCAACACCTTTCTACAAGTATTCGCATCTTTCGGTATTACTAGCAGATTGTAAGCGCGTCCACTATTAAATGAGTGAAAATCCGAACTAATACTGACCCACTCTATCTACTCCAGAATGAAAATATATTCAAAGAGAGCCACAGCTACGTCAATACGTAGCAAGATTGTTCAACTCTTGCATATTCCTGCACTTATTGCCCTGGTCCTTGCTATCAGTGGTGGGATTGACCAGACCTCTTCAAATATCTCGGACCATGCTAGTGGCAAAACCAAGACCCGTGCTGCAATCATCCTCTTCCTAGCCATCTATGTTGCAACCTGCACACTATGGGCCATGACAGTGCAGAATGTCCGCCTGATGGAATCGAGCCAAAACCGCATCTTCTTCTGCGTGCTCCTCGCACTGCCGTTTATAGCGATTCGGGTCCTCTACAGTCTTATCAGTGATTTTGGGAACAACCATCAATTTTCAGTAGCTGATGGTGACCCCAGGATTCAACTGGTAATGGCCACACTTGAAGAATTTGTGGTTGTTTTGATGTACACAATCTTGGGTTTAATAACACCCAAATCAACATCAAATTCTGGAATGGCCGATTTCCTCCAACAAGAGATATGCCATACAACCGAATATGCTGAAAATTTGCGTCGTCATAGACATGCCGATCACCCTCCATATGATGAGGTCAGTTATGCCCAGGCGGCGGCTCAAGAGGCATATAATCAACAACATGTGCGGCGTTAATTCTAGAAGGTACATTGGTTAGACAGTGTTGTTCAATTTGGTGATGTGATTGGGTTGAAAACAGAGCTTGTCTCAATTCAAGGCGTTGAACTATAGAGATCTCATGCAATTGCTGTCAATTTTGAGCTATTGTGTTTAGTCTTGCCTTTCATATAAAAGCATAAGATCGATACATAATCTTCTTCAGTCCCTAGAATTCTGGTCTCTTCAACTAACTAATCTCATTTCACATTCCAGTGACTATCTCCGTTATTTGGCCTTCTCTCGTGAATATCTTAGGTGATAAGCCCTAGGTAAATCCACACCAATTTGAGGGTTTGTGTAGAGAACATGGACGTCAGACTCAGTTTACTATTCATGAGTAGTTTTGTATTTTGTATATTTTTAGTGTTGTTGTAGATTTATAGATACTACCAGTTTTGGTAGATTACTATATATTGTGAGCAAGTTATATGCTACTAAAATTCTCTCACGTCCCTTGCTTGTGTTCTGATAGTTAGATCTGCCAATTTTACGACGAGGTCTCCATCTCTCCGTAAACCATTATAAAGTTGACCACCACGATGTAGATCTATGGCAAGAAGGTGGGAAAAAACATATATATTGTAGTGGGGAACCTCGCCCTCCACTCCTAAGGGCCCTGTCTGTCCCTCCTTTCTTCCACATTCTTTATTGTGTAAATCATTGAAGCACGGAGGATACAGGTAGCAGATAGATGCAGATTGAGAATTTACACTCCTACACCTCTCTGAGTTCACTTCTTGAAAAGAAAAAAAAATTAAACAAAAAAATACGTCCGGGTTCCTTGTGTATGCAAGCTGGGTATGAAGCTGAATTGTGAGTGATGAATCGACCCGCGTGCCTGAGAGCACACAGCCTTGAACGTTCACCCTTCGATATATATTAAAAAATATCAAAAACCAAGCAGCATATTCAATCGCAGAGATAATTGATATCTCATCTCATTGAGTATCGTGGCTAGGAGAGTCGCCTGGCGATATCCAGGCCCGAGAATCCATCCCTTCCCGCAATAACTGCGCCATAGCTAACGCTTGATTGATTCCCATGGAATGTCCAATCTTCTCAAGACAACCAATAATCCATTTCCGCAGCTGCGGAGATGCAAATCCAGAGTTTGCAGCAATTAAAAGAGGCCACACTAGAGTGACGCCTCCCGCCCCTGATACCTCGAAATTAGGAGCCAGAGGCGTAGCATAATGAATATCTGAGTTCGTCATGTTCATGTTGGGCACAAAGGCTCCAGGACTTGCTGCATCTGTTTCCAAAGATAAGCTCCTCTCGGCAGATGGAAATGCGGGCATTGATGCCCATGGTAAGGGTGTGGTGGGAAACGAGCCATCCGAATTTCCTAATCCTGACGCGACAGGATAGGATTCACTACCAGCGTTTTGGCTGGGAGATCTCCACTTATAGGTATCCTCCATACCCATGCCCAGATGGAAAGGAACACTAGCGCAAATATCATCCACGAGTTGATGCGCAATCTGTCGGCTTTGACTCGCAATAATTTGCTGTTGACAGAGGCCGCTACTTCCCGGTGAAGAATTTGCAAGTAATTTCACGGCGTCCAGAAGCATTTCGTGCATTATAATTCGTGCAGAGCGAGCATAATTCCAAACGCCGCTTACAGAAAGATTTCGATACACATGGTAACCATCACCCCAAACGGTGCGGGTGATGGGCTCTCCGTCTACCAGCGGAACATTGACTGTTTTATACCCCCACGAGGGAGGTGTAGTAAGGAGTATTGACGTGAGGTCTGCATCGAGACTCAGAGTACGGCGTATAATCTCGCTAGGCTGCGTGATACTGCCATCTTTAAGGGCTGCGCAAAAGTTGGTCAGTTGGATGACCACCCGACCGACATCGTCGACTATTCGGTCATCTGGGTCTCGATATTGCTTTGCATCTTCTGTGAGGTGGGTCATAGTTGAAGAGCTGTATTTCTCTTGGTATATTTGGCTGATGCTCTGGTTATCCATGTCAGAATATTGCTAGCTAGCCAGCTCAAATGGTGGGAAACATACAATTTGTGCCCGTAGGTTTGTGAACAAACCCAAACCCTCCGGTCGAGTCAATTGTTCTGAACCTCGATATTCAATTAGATTTTTGGCTCCATCCATGTGTTTGATCCATCGTTCTATAAAAGAGTCGTCGCTGCATGTCATTACCTTTAAAGACCCATCATTAGTAGAGTGCGATAAAAAGAAAAACATAAAAGTCAAAACTTACCTCAAACATACCCAGTAATACCACAGCTGCTAATGTATCATCTCTCTTGGAAAGAACTGGGTCTCTGAGGGCATGATTTGTTTGAGATAGTGCGGTCGTATACTCTTTTCTAGCTTGGAGCATCATTCGTGGAGAAAGACGAATGTTGGACAAGGCTGCTAATCCCACTGCGGCCAGCGCGGTGGTCAAGACCGGTGAATTGCTAGTGTCTTTCATCAAAGGCAGCAGATAGGACATGTGGCCCCCACAGGGACCACCGGACATGTAGTTCACAAATATATGAGCCTTAGCTAATTCCTGAACTGGGTAAAGAAGACTGTTTCTTGGAGGAGACACATTCTGAATGCTAGTCGAGATGCTAGAGGTGCCAGTGGTGCTAGTCGTGGCTGTGCGCTTTTTGCGTGGGGCTTGCTGAGACTTGCGGATCACATCCTCGCTTTGATCTCGAAAATTCCAGTCCAATGGATCTCGATACCCGGGACAATCCACTTGAGCCCGCATGCATTGAGTACATGATGGTGACCCTTGATCGCACTAGACCCAGTTTAGTCAACATCTCTCATCATTTTTTGACCTCACAATCATACTTTCAAGCGACGGGTGCGACAGCGCCCACAGGCAGGACTTGGCTTTCCACAATAAACCATCTGGTGTCACAATCTTGGCTGCCGAAAGAAGAAATGCGTTGCGTTGAGGGGTGAAAGAGAAAAATCGATTTTGGGTAAGCATCTCGTTTACAGAAAATCGCAGGGCTATAAGAGCTTATCTTATTATTCTCCTCCAATAGAAACATGCAGTAGTGGGCTAAGCCTCGAAATAAATGCACGGGGTCGAATACGAGAACTACTTACGCCCCTTACCGATTACGGTCAGCAATTCGTCAGCCCTACATATCCATCCCTCCAAGGCTATATTCTATACATCCTATACACTTAGACTAACCATGATCTACTTGTTCCATCATCTACTATATTCTATATTCTAATTATACTTAATTTAGTTTCGCTACTGTTTTCCCCTTTTATCCACCGTTTTTTAACTTCCTCGCTTAATATAAGTCGCCCCATATATACTAATGGGAACAGGTTGGCCATAACGGGCTTCGTCCTTCAGTTGCCGAGTAAAGTCCCTTCACACCTTTTTCTGGGAGTTTAATTCATTTCCCTGTATGAATCTCTATTCCGAATGTCTCCCGAAGGACATCATTCTTCCCGATATCGGGTAGATGACGTTCACGAGGATTTCCCATAAATATAGCATCTTTCCTCTCTCTACGCACCCCTGACCAACTCATACTCTCTAGATCCCATTTCTAAACAAATCTCTCACTTTATTCTTCTTTAAAGATGACTGGATCCACCACTTTTCTCTTCGTTCCTGGCGCATGGCATAGCCCTGACTGCTTTGATCAAGTGGTGCAACGCCTTGAAGCAGTAAACTACAAAACCGACAAAGTCTATTTGCCCTCAGTCGGTCCTACCGAGCACTACTTGAGCTTTGATACAGACGTTGCACAAATTCGCACTCAAATCGAACAAGCAGCGGATGCCGGGCAAGAAGTCGTCGTTATTGTTCACTCTTACGGTGGCTTGCCTGCAAACGAGGCAATCAAAGACCTCGACATCAAAACACGCCAGCAGAATGGTCTGGTTGGGGGTGTCACGCACCCGTTCTTCTGCGCCTCCTTCGTCATCAAGGAAGGAGATTCACTAATTGGCGCGTTCAGTGGAAATGACCTGCCATGGTTTATTGTCAGCGACGACAAGCTACAAGTCAATCCTGCCAATCCAGAAAAAATACTCTACCACGAATGTGATGTGGTCCAGATTAAGTCTTCCATTGAAGCCCTGAAGCCTCACAGTTACCAGACCTTTCACAGTATTTGCACCTATGCTGCGTGGAAATATGTACCAAGTACCTATTTGTACTGTACTGAAGATGCTGCTATTCATCTGGCTGTCCAAAAGGCAATGGTTGAAGGAACAGCGAAGGGAACTGGAATGAAGACAGAGTCAGTGGACGCATCGCACAGCCCCTTTATCAGTAAGCCTGATGAAGTCACTGCGGCGATTCGGCGGGCTGCTGGAGAGGTTGTTTGAGCTTGGGGGATATATACTATGTTTCGATTCTATGCTGAATATTTATAAGTGAGTCATAGCATTATATATCAGCATTAAGGACTTCTACTTGAATAATCAAATTGATCGATAATGTGAATTCCAACTTGATGTATAGGCGAATATCAAGCGGGAAGTACCGTAACAATGTACAAAGATGCCCTACATGAAAAGGCGTATATCTTAAAAACAGTTCTAGTTGGTGGATATTCTTGAATTCCACAATTTCTAGGCAGAATTCCACACGAAGTGGCTTCCTCTTCCGGTCAGCAATTCGGTGGCAAGTGAGTCACGGTTACATCTCCAACTGTAGCGGGCTACATGGTCCTCGATGATTATCAATTTATTATCACAATGGGTAATTTAGACCTCGGGGATTTTTTCTTGCTTAATATCAGAGAGAAATTATAGAGAGAACATAAAAGTCCCAATACCCCCAGGAAGGATTGACTAAAGCTATACTTCCTATCTTAACTTTCTTTGTTCAACTAACATAAAAAGAATATGTCCATCCGACCCGATCTCAACCTACGGTTTCACGGCAGTTTTATCGTCAGCTGCTGCTCTTCTTGCGACAGATTCTCCAGCAACACCTGCTCCCTTCGTTGCAATGACCGAAGTTCCGACTCCAGCAACGCCCCTCGCCCAGCGGATTAACGAGTATGCAAAGTTTCACCTTCCTGAGCCAACATACAATCATTCTCTTCGTGTCTATCACTTTGGGCTTGCGATCAAGCGGTACAGGTTCCCCGAATGGGCCTTTACTGATGAAACCTACTTCCTTGCCTGCCTGCTTCACGATATCGGAACCACCCAACCTAACATGGAGGCCACCAAAATGAGCTTTGAGTTTTTTGGAGGCTTGAAAGCACTGCAAATTCTGCAGAACCTCAACCCCTCCTTTGTAGGAGGCTCAGTTCCAGTCGCCCCAAAAGATCAGGCAGAGAGCGTGGCAGAAGCAGTCATCCGACATCAAGACCTATGTGAGAAAGGTAAAATTACAGCGCTCGGTCAGCTGCTTCAGCTAGCAACAATATTCGGTATGTTCGTCCTTTATCAGAATCGATTGTTCTGAAACAAGATTCCTTGAACCGTGATCAAATGCCATACTGTTATTCGGTGGCAACAACAAGTGATAGCTCTGCTGACTTGTTCGGAACAGATAACACTGGTTCCTATGCCAATCTCGTTCACCCTTCAACTATTCAACAGGTTTCTGATCATTTCCCACGTTTGAAATGGAGCAAGTGCTTCGCTAGTACCATTCATGAAGAGAGTCGGCTCAAGCCATGGGCACACACAACGACACTTGGCGAGGAAGAATTCGGTAGCAAGGTGCTAGGAAATACTCTAATGGCACCCTATGAGTGATGGCATCCCGATGATTCCTGAAGACTGATTGTGTGTATGTGTGTGACACGGGCCTCTCTTGGATCCTCTAGAGCTCGTACACACAATAAACATGGAGAACCGAGAGGAATTGAAAAGTACAATAAAATGACCCTTTAATTCAATTTAATCCGCAAAGTAGCAAAACTGGCCAGTTGGTGTATGTAGGGTCAAGTCTACGGAGTACTCCGTAGACACATACATTTTAGATACTTCCCGTTAACTCGGACAGAACACCTTCACGGATCCTCTACAGATCCTCTACAGAAGCCGAACATGCTTCAAACCATCATAGCCGCTTTCTTTCTCCTCATACCATTTTATTGCATATACAAACCCCCTATTCTGCTCATTCGTTACTGTCAACGTCGCTGGCCGGATGTACTCTTCCACGTGGATACAACCAACAAAGTGGCTGCGTTGACGATTGACGACGCGCCCTCTATACACACACCTGAAATTCTCCGTCTACTACAATTGCACAATGCAGCTGCGACTTTCTTCTTGATAGGATCCCAAATCCCAGGACATGAATCTGTCCTGGCTGATCTCGTCCGAGCGGGCAGCGAACTCGCCAACCATGCCATGTATGATGAGCCATCGCGTGTACTCAGTGACGACGTCTTGGCAGATCAGATCCAAGCAGTTCATGCCAGAATTCAGGAAGCATATGTTGCAGGCGGGAATATATCACAGCCTGATAATTGGCTCTTTCGCCCTGGCTCGGGATTTTTCAGCTCCCGGATGAGAACTCTTGTAAAGGAGCTGGGTTATCGGCTGGTGCTCGGCGATGTGTATCCGCATGACCCGCAGGTGTCATTTTGGAAAATGAACGCGAGTCATATTTTGAGTATGGTCAAGCCAGGGAGTGTTATTGTCTGCCACGATCGGAGGGCGTGGACCGTGCCCATGTTACAGAAGGTGTTGCCTGAGCTGAATCGCAGAGGATACCGCGTTGTTACAGTATCCGAGTTATTGAAAGAAACTGGTACAAATCGGTGTTCAGACTGATAGCCAAATGAATATTGCGGGCTATTAATTTACATGTCTTTCTTCTCGAAACGCTATGGGTATATTCGGACACTATTCTCATCACACTAACCCATCATCTGCAATTGATCTTCCGGGGGCCAGCGGACTTGTGCAAAGCTCAAGCAGCGCTTGATACTCTGCAGATACTTGCGAGTAATCTCGTCACTCAGAATATGTGCCTGCTGGTCACTCTGATGCAGCTTCTCTCTTGCAGATCGCTCGTGAATACCAACCATGGTCACACCAATGGGCCACGCTCTATAGACATGTTAGCATCATTTCCAAATTTATCAAGGTGGCGGGATCAACATACGCTTTACCGATGCTCACTCGTAGGTAAGCATCATTTGCATCGACATATCGCCGTTGCTGTGCCTTGTGCACGATCTCAACAATCGGTTCCAACAGCCCGTCCTCCAGGTCGGCCTTCTCGAAGAGGCGGAACAATGGCGTCATGTTCTCTCGTGATTGAGTCATGGCATTGAATGCTTGTTTTCCCTGGAAACTTTCACGCACCGAGACGTCACGCTTTGCCAGTGCCAGTTCCCATTCCGACAAAACCATGTTGAAGTAAGATCCTAACTGCCTGAAAAGGAAGAGGCGACTCTCTTGGTCTTTCGGAATCTTGGCCGGGATGATCATCTGTCCACCAGAGACGGGCTCCAAGGTTGTGGGGATAGGTCCATCGGTCACCTTCTTCTTGGGAATAGCGGCCCGTTGAACCAGACGACGGTACCGTCGAAGACGGGCTCGATAGTCCTCTCCAAATAATTGTATTGGCGCATTCATCTCTCGTAGTTTCGCAATAAGCTCCTCCTCCTCGATATCTTCCTCCGCATCACTGTCGGCTGGGGTGTTCTCAGGTAAGTCAGGCAGGCCGAGCCTCCGCCGCCGTTCACGTTCTTTGGCTATTTCTTCTTGTTCTCTCCTCTTCTTGGACTCCTCAGCTAGTCTTCGCTTCTTCTCCTCGCGTTCTCGGGTTCGATCCGCTTCTTCGTCTTCGAGCTTGCGCTTATTTGCCATGCGCTCTTCACGTTCGCGTGCAAGTCGCTCTTGCTCTTCGTTGTAGGCTTCAATGCGGGCAGATTCAACATCGCCTCGTCGCAGATATTTCTTCGCTGGCGCTGCGGGGGCGCTTTTCCCGGTATCTTTGGCGGATGGCTTGGAAGCATCGCTACCCTTGGCCTTGGAGATCTCCTTGGACATCAACGCGGCGAAATCCATGGTGGCGGGATGATGCAGCGAGCTACTTGAACAATGCGACTGTAGCTCAAGCTCAAACGAATGTAGACAATAGATAAGGTATAGTTGCGTTAAAGGAGGAAGATAGGGTGTGGAGCAGAAGGAAAAGAATGTTCGGCTTTGCACGTCAGAGAAAACCCGCAGCTTTTCGACGCCGCATTTGGGGTCTCTTCCAGTCAACTCCCCTCAACCAAAATACCACAATCATTTACCTCCAAGAACCTTCATCCAAGCTTTAATTTACATTTCAGTCATCATATCTTTCATCCTCTTCTACTTTCTCTCCATACTAGAAACTGCAACGTCTGATTTTCACCTTACTATCTATCATGGCCGCTCCGTCGCGAGAGGGCCCCAAACCCTCAATCAACCGCCAGACCACTGCACCTTTTCATTTGAAACTTTTCTACCGAGTCAACAACTACAACTCTCTGTCCGATTATAGCATTCCAGTGCAACCACGCCGTGGAGGACCGGTGAGTGGACCAAATGCCATTCGTCCAGCATCACCTGTCGCATCAGCAACACCACTCCCACCACATCTGGAGATCTACACATGGCAATCTTGCACACTTCGCGAGCTCTCACAGCTTCTCACTTCTGCTCTTCCATCATTACTCCCTGATCCGCCCGTTGGTACCCGTCTTTGCTTCCGATTGATTTACCCCGATGCGCGCGGCGCGGCGATGGGCGGCCCCGATGCGCGTGGCCGATACTTGAGCAGGGATTTAGGCAGTGTCATTGTTGGTCCTAGAGATAGCCCATTGCGCGCGGACGACGACGACGACGAAGATAAACAAGAAGCACGACCCCGCCCTGGCCCACTCCGTTTCCAGGGCTCCGAGGCCGATAGGCCCCTGCAGGATGCCCGTTTTATCGTCGGAGACTACATTGAATGCGCAATTCTAGCACCGCTCGAAGACGGATCCATTGCACCGGCACTCAATGGCGCATCAGGCCCGATTCTGGGACCCAGAGGTGGAGGTGGAGGCGGCATGCGCGCGTTCCGGGATAATGGCTATACTCGTGGACCTGGTCGGGGTGGTCCCCGTGGAGGTGGTGGTGGTGGTGGACCTCCCCATATGCCCCGAGGTGATTGGCATCGTGGTGAGCGATTGCCTGAAGGTGGACGCGGAGGCCGTCGTGGATGGGCCCCATATTGAAGAGCGCGAAGCAAAATCCAGTTCGAAAGCAAGTTTATCAAAAGGGCGATGAATACCCATGTTGAGTCATTGTATGATTATCTAGTTCAAACCCAATGGAATTAATTATGTGGTGCCATCAAAAATTAAAAACAATAGTAACTGGTGTGCCGCTTGCCTTGGCAGTTTATAAGCATCGCGTTCTATCACTGTTAAAGAGGCAACTATAGCTTCATTTTAGAGCATTTCAACAATATCCGTGGATATGCTCAATGCGTACCAACTACGAAGTACATCCATAATTACCATGGCCTAAGGAGTATATAAATGCATATCACAAGTCCCGCATACCAACGAGCAGCCAGTAAAATGGCTGATACCCGTCTTTTTGGTGAGATACTCGGGGGCTATATGTTTGACCTTGGAAGTAAACCCCAGGTTCCACGCTCGTGAACCAAGTCAACAAAACAAAGAAATCCATGCGATATATGCTTGTAATAAAGTACACGGCCCACGCGACGGGCACCGGCACAAAAAGAAAGAGTCATCGGGCAATATCCCCTCAACACACGAGTATCTCCAACCTCTCAGTGTGTAGTTCTCCATGTCGCATCCTGTCACAATTGCTGCTTGGTACGGGTTTGATAACAAGACGTGAGTTGAATTATGAAATTATTCATCGTTGAATGTCTACCACTCGGAGATCGGATCTCCCCTGCGCTTGCCACGGAACTCGAACTTGCCCTGCATATTGTTAGCGTGTCTCTCTCCGCGGGATTGGACCACAATCGCAACCCAACCCACAATGGGTTATTCCATACCTCGTACTTGTAGGCAACGTAGCCAAGGATGCCAGGAATCAGGCCCATGTAGACAAAAGATATCATGGCATGGCGCGGGGTCCAGCGCCAGTACTTGTAACGGTTGGCATTGAGTTCTATGGGTCCGTTAGTCAATCTTCAATCGTAGATATATCATGTCGCGGGGTGCTGAATTGGAGAAAGGTGCTCCATGTAGCTCTCGTATATGCTTGGGCCAGTGTAATGTGCAAGATTCATTCGGAAGCCTAGATCGTGGGAGATGGGGTTGGGGGCATGTACCATAGTATTTCTGGAGGGCCGGGTCGAGAATCAGAGCTGGACAATGGGTTAGCAATTCAGGTCACTACACTCATAGGGTTCTCAAGACTCACACTTGCTAGGACCAGCCATTGTTGCGAGAAGCGTGGAAGCGTGGACTCAGAATCGACAACGCTTTGCAAGCGTTCGCCGGGATTGAAGTTGAAGGTCACATGATGATGAATCAGCTAAATGACGTAATCAGCTTTCGTCGAGGTCTTAACAATTTATGCCACAAAACTATAGTATGCTATGCTGTAGCATGCAAGATAGAAATATACATATAACTTTGTTCCTGTCTTAATCCGTTATTTTTATTCTTGTATAATACTGTCATTATTGATATCTGTGGTTGCGGAGATGTGCCACCTTGGATATCCGAGATCATCCGCCAACCAAATGCTCTCCATATACACTGATGTAGCTACAAAAAGATGTCCATCCTTAATTTACATAGAGGCTGAGAAATTTCCCTCAATCTCCTCAACCTTCTTCACGGCACGCTGATACCCCTCATTTCTCTCGAGGCGGTTGGCATACTCAACAATAAGAGGGTATTTATCCTTATTTTTCTCCTCCTTCAGCGATCGCATGGCGATAGCAATGACTGGGAAACTTAGCAGGATATCGGCAGCTGTCAGCTCCTTACCGCAAATGAACTCGCCACCATCGGGAGATGTGCGCAGCTGTTCCTCAAGGAAGGCGAGGTTACCCTCAACGTTACGGGTCAGGAACTGATTTTCAACTTGCGATGCAACCATGTTGGTGATAGGCCGAACAAAGAACGGAGGGGCGTTCCGAATGGCTTTTTGGAATGTTAGCGGTACTTGGGGTCTCTAAATAAAAGATGACTTACAGTCGTTGACTAGAGTCATCACCAAGAAAGGCATCAGACTGCCCTCCACATAGTGCATGAAGTAGCGATAGCGCATCCACTCCTCGGTCTCGCCACCCACTTTACCCTCAGTGCCGGGCGTGTACCGTTGTGGTACTAGCGTCGGTCGCGTGTTACTGAAGTGGTCACAAAGATATTCCGCGATCGCACCAGACTCTGCCAATACTAGCGGTTTTACGGCGCCCGGTGCCTGGATGGTGATCACGGGCGACTTGCCCAGCGGGTGGATCTCCTTCAGCTCAGCAGGGGCGAGCTTGTCAGCGCGGCGCTTGAAGGTTTTCAGCTCATATTTCAACTGCAATTCTTCCAAAAGCCAAAGGATTCGGTGGCTTCGAGATTTCTCGAGCCTGGAATGTGAGTTAATATGATTCTGAAGAAACTATGGCACGGGGGCATACCAATAGAGAGTAATCTTGCAACCTTGATTGTTGTCCATATTGTTATATAATGTTATAGAAATGAAATAGAAATAGAAAAATCCAAGTCAATAGAAAGGAAAAAGGAGTTATAAATACCTGCACATGAATAATGATGTCAACCTTGAAAATGGCCCGAGGCTTTTCCAAGTTTATCTCCCATAAGGGGATAAAGGACCGAGAACTGTCCCCGAGACATTCCTCTACTTTGTATGGAGTAGTTAAATTATTTCACAATAATGCGTAGCAATATATACCCTTTGTGTGGCGACTACTATCCTGGATAGCCACCTTGATCACCCAAATTGCCAAATTGGGACTGGACTGGTTCGAGCTGGATTCCATCCAGATCTATATTTTGATATGTACACATGCAATTTCCATCATACGCTTCTCAGTCACTTATGCACATATTTGTGTCGATCCTCCCACTACTGAGGCTTCATCGTATGTAAACTATTCACATTTGTCGATATAGGAGCATTGATGTGAGAAGGACCTAACTAGATCGCCCGAGGCGCGGCATCTTCTAGAGCCGCGTGTATTCCATCGTACGTGACAACAGGAGCTCATTCTCGTTGCGCCAAACTTCAATCTGAGGTGGTTGGATGGGTCTTCAAGCAATTCCATCGAATTTTTGCTGTGAGGATTGATTATTTCATCTGGTTGATCTCTGTGATTCCACCGGTTATTCATAGAAAGCGATTCTTTTCCTGGGTCGGACAAGCTGTCCAGTGCCAATTCCAAGGGACTTGACCATGGCGCGGTTGAAATGTATCTTGATAGGCTATACTTGCACGCGGACCTATGTAATTAATAGAATAGATGATACCTTGATTGAAAGCGCTCGATTTGATAGATTAGTCAAAATATTCCAATGCATAGATCCATGGATGTTTTTATATACAGGTATGCTTTTCGGACATCCTTTAGAGCCTCACGGGTTCTGTGTCAAGGGGAACTAATACATGTCCCTCCGTAACCAAGGAGTTCTTGCAGGAACGGCCCGAGGCCAAATCAGACAAATTGCCAAGTGTGACCTCGGCAATCTCCTCGAGGGCCTCACGCGTGAAGAACCCCTGGTGACCACAGATCAGGACATTGTGAAAGGTCATCAAGCGCATCAACAGGTCGTCCTCGATGATCTCCCCGGAGTGATCATTGTAGAAAAGCTCACCTTCAGCTTCGTAGACATCCAACGCCAACCCGCCCAGTTGTTTCGTCTTCAGCGCCTGTATGACCGCGGTGGTATCGATGAGTCCACCGCGCGAGGTATTGACCAATAAGGAACCCGGTCGCATGCGCGCCAATGTTTCTTCATTGATAAGGTGCTTTGTGCCCTCGGTGAGAGGGCAATGCAAAGAAACGATATGACTTTCCTTCAGTAGGGTGTCGAGGTCAACTAGTGTTCCGTACTGGTCGAACTCTTCACCGGCAAAGGGGTCATGTGCGAGCAGTCGGCACCCGAAGCCGCGGAAGATACGCGCGGCTGCAAGCCCGATGCGCCCCACGCCGACGATCCCCACGGTCTTGCCATGCAGGGTATTCCCGAGGAGGCCTTCGATGTTGAAGTTGCCCTCGCGTACACGATTGTATGCGCGGTGAGTCTTACGATTTAGGGTTTGGATCAGGGCGACTGCGAACTCCGCCACTGCTTCGGGGGAATATGCTGGGACATTCGCCACGAAGAAACCTAGCTCTTCGGCAGTTGCGAGGTGCACATGGTTGAATCCCGCGCATCGGAGCAGGATGGCACGGATCCCGTAGGCATGGAGGGATCTCAGCACGCGTTCGTCCAGGGTGTCGTTGACAAAGACGCACACTGCGTCACAACCTTGGGCTAGCGGCACGGTCTCCTCAGATAAGGCGAAGGCATGGTACTCGATGGTACAGAGTTGAGGAAAGTGCCGCTCACGCACCTGGTCCAGATAAGTGCGGTCGTAGGATTTGGCGCTAAAGACGGCCAGTTTCATGATGGGCGTTTGTGTTGTGATTGTACAGTTGTTTTGGAAGAATTAAATTTATAAAGTCATGACGACATATGACACCTGCAAGCGGCCATTTCGGTAGACTTCAAAGTAGTATAGTCAAGTACTTCCCCAGATCCCCGACTGTAACCCGCATTCCGCAGATCTATACATAGCCTATTGGCTCAAAAGCTTTAGAAGATGGGAAACGGGTACAAATATACTACATACGACCTCTTACCTTATTAAGTAGTAGTTTGTACCTAGTATGCATCATCAGGCGGAATAGGAATACTCTAATGTTGTACTCTTTACTCTGTACGGAGTACGGAATATTCCGCGATAGCACATATTGTACTCTGTGTACTCCGTACGGATACTATTATAATATACCTCTAGGGCTCTAGGGCTCTAGGGCTTACTATGGTTAGTAATAATGTCTACAAATCCACAACTTCCCGAGGTCTTCTGGATGATTACTTTTTTGAGATTGTATTTCCATTTCCTACAAGTTGATTGGATACATCGGATCCAGACATCCGGGCTCCGGCAAAAGTGTAGAAAGTAGAAAGCCAATAGAATGACAGGAGATTGAAGTGAACCAATCATATATCGATGATAAGAACAGACGCCACGAACAGCCTGATTGGTCATTAGCTTTACGCTAATGAAAAGGATTTCTTTTTTTTTTTTTGCCTTGTTTTTGCCTTGTTTTGCCTACTTTTTGTATATACTATCTAGATGCAATTGTGATTAGATCACATGTTCTATATATATACATATATACATATGTTAGTTTACATATATATTCTATATGGAGTACTATAGAATAGACTATATTCATAATTATTTGTAAATTAGCGGAACTGTAATCTAAGTGGAGCCCGCAAAAGGAAATCCGTCAGAACTTCATAAACCGGTCTGAATCCCTGGACAAAATAGCGGTCAAAAGAAAGTATTCATGTATGTACCTACATATAGTATATAGTCCAGATTATGATTTCATATCGGGGAAGTATTAACACTACAACAAAAGGAAAAAAAAAAAAAAAAAAGTACGATGTACATCAATATATATGAAAAAAAAAGACACACGGACTACTTCCTAACTACTTAGCGCTACCTTGACCCGGAAGTATGTACCCGCCAATAAGTACAGACTCCATACATACCAGATACCAAAGTAAATGTACTCAGGTGATCCCCAACCAAGTACTCCGTACTGTACCTATAATGTACCTTCAATGTATCTGTCGAAGGTAACACTATCACAATGATACTCTCAAGTAGTATCACACACCTTTTTCGCTTCAACTCCTTTTACCCTCTTTTTATTTAAATCTTTCTCTTTTCCTCCAAAAACACCATATCCACATTTCGCATAAGTACTCTACTCTACTCCGTACTCTACTCTACAATCTTAGCAACGTTCTCCACCTCAGCCACTTACCCTTTTTCTTTTTCTCTTCGGTTGAACGGGTTTGAACGGGTTTGAACGGTCTTATTAAGTACTTCAATTAATTCCTCCTTTTTCGCCCCTCGGTATTTGTATCTGGAATCGACAACTTTTTGCCGCCGAGATTGATTTTACCCTTTTAAACTCTTCTTCACCCTCCTTTTCAATTCGCTTCCCAACTTTCACCACTTGACCTTAACATCCCTTCTATTTGATCATGGCGACTCATGTTTTGAACCCCGTTATCAACCCGACTACCAACCAGATTTCGGTTTATGGTCAACCCTCCCCAACCAACTCCGCCACCAACACTCCTTCCAACAACTCCCCCACCTCCCCTCGCATGGCCACCGCTTCCCTGCACCAACTGCCTCTGCAGTCGCGCCAGCTGCGTCCTCTCAAGGGTCCCCTCTATGTCCCTGCAGCTCTCCGACCCACTGAGCGACCCCAGAAATCGTCTCCCATTACCCCACCTCGCAGCGTGCATGGCTCTCTTGATAGCCTGCATGAGGAATCGGAACCTATCAGCCGTCATTCCACCATGGAGAGCGAATCCAGCGAAATCAGCCAGAGCGCCCAGCATGAATGGATGAAGAATGAGCATCTGGGTGCAGTGACTGGTCTGCCGACCCGTACACACTGGAAAGTGAGTATCTCAAAAACGACAACACCAAGAAAAAAAAAAGAAAAAAAAAAAACCTCCCTCTCCCTCCCAGTTCCCTTCTTTTCCCTTCCCTCGGCGCCTTTATAGACATTTGTTTCGATTTGAATTGCGCAGTTGTCAAAGCAAATGTCGTGTGAGCTCGTCATTTCTCGGAAATGGCGTGCTGGTTATCCGCCTCATCCCTGTCGCATCCCAGCCACATATCCCTTTGATCATCTTACATTGACCACACTTACTAACTTCATCCCTCAGGCTGACTCTGCTTCTTCCCACTGTGATTCGCCCACTTGCCGCTCCTCATTTGGTATCTTTTTGCGTCGCCACCACTGTCGTCACTGCGGCCACGTCTTCTGCGCCTCTCACACACCTCACCTTGTTCCTCTTGACCAGGATGCCCGCTTCCACCCCGATGGTGTTCCATCCCGTGCCTGCGATCTGTGCTGGAGTGCCCACCAGCGCTGGGAAGAGAATCGCTCTGACCGTCTGAACAAAATTCAGAACACCATCGATGCTCAGCAGATTGGCGTCTCTGTTCCCGACTCTGAGATCATGAATGCTGATGAGAATTCCGAGTCCACCGTGGGCCAGACCGGCGAGGTTGCTGCCTCCGTTCCTCGTGACTGGAACTGGAGCACTTTCTAAACGCATTGCCCTGGTTCCTTCGGTTACTGTGGCCAGCAGGACTGCTGCAGCTTGGCGTTTTACTTGATCTCTTCATAATCTTTTCACTTTCTCATGCTCATGCGTGATCGGTTTTTTTTTTTCTCTCTCTTGGCGACCATGGCTTCGGCGTTTCTGACGGGTCCTGTACCCTGGGTTTTTGTTTCTTTTGTTTTCTACGGTCATGTTATGGCTTAGCATCGTGCCTAGAGGGTTTTCATCGGTCCTTAGCGACCCGGTTGCTTTCTGTTTCTGTTTCTTTTTGCTTTGCGTTAATCAGGATACCCCGTCGGTTTTTCTTTATTTGCGCGGTGATCTTACACTTGATGTTTCTTCTTCCTTGACTAGTCCCATAAGAGTATGTGGCAGTTTTACAATTTTCCCAGTTGATATCTAGTTCGATTTAGTTCGATCTAGTTTGAATCCATTGATATTCTGAATTTTGAATGGTTTTTCTTTCCTTTACTCGTAGGCTATATCACTTGTTCCGTAGTACGTCTTCTCTCTCTGTAGATCCTTATTTATTGAGAACCACCCGCTGAAACATACCCACATACTCAATCCCCTCCTCGTCCCACCGACCCAGCGACTGATCCGTTTCAAATTCAAACCCAGCATACATCCCCACCACATCCACCTGAGCATGCACAAGAACCAACCCCCGCCACGGAATTGGAGTAACAGGTGACTCCCTCCTAGCAGCGATCTGCGCCGCAGCCTCGTCTACATCTGCCGCATGCACAGCCGCCCACTCCAGCGCTATTTCCACTAGCCGTCGCCCAAGTCCGAGGCCGCGGAACGATGGCATGATCGCCACCCGCGTCAGCTTGATACAAGGTTCATGCTTCCAGTCGTATTCGGGGGCTCCCTGCGCAACTGCCGCTGGTGGTGCCGTGAGATGGGCGTGGGGCGTCTGTGGAGGAGGTACCAGGCGGATCACCCCCACAGGCGTGGAGATCGCGGTGGAGTTGTCATATACTAGTATGTACTTTGTAGTACCCAGTGCCAGCTGTGGGAATCATCGCTGTCGATCTCGGAGTCTGCGGTGCAGTTCTGCTCGTCGATGAAGACGCCTTCCGGACTATCATTGCATCATTGAAGATGGTGGGGTTGGTATTGGTGCTGGTATCTTGGGATGGGAGTACCAGCTTTGCCTGGGGTCCTGGGGGCGACTGCATTGAAGTGCTGGGCTCTAATTTTCGTGCCATTCTGGCCAATGATGGAGAGTATTGAGCATAGATGGTATGGTCTTCAATGGCAATGATGACGAATATTTGGGGGGTGGGACGTAAAAGTTGTAGCAGAGGTTGATTCAGATATATATGTACAAAGTAGACACCGTCAAGATCAGCTACAAAACATCAAACGCTATCCATCGTTGAATGTATCGGACACAAAGAAACTATAGTCTTATCATAGCTCCGCTACGACATTCGAGAACTAATGTAATAAGCCGTGACTACTAGATATATACTACATAAGTTTCATGATCCAAACCAATCTATACAATCAAGTGCAAACAGAGCAAACAACTCCAAAATATCAGTTCGATTGCGAAAATCTTCAATTTCTCCGACCAACATTTCATTCTCCTCAATGTCCCTCTACTTTGATGCGGTCGCTATCTTGACCACGCCCTCATCAGGCGGCTCGTTCAAGTCTCGGGTTTATAGTGCTCGGAACCTCCGCGCATCTCCAGCTCAGATCTATGCGCTGACCACCGAGGCTGCTAAATGGGACACCGTGCTGGCAGATGTCATTGACAAATCAGGCATTCTCGCCTTGGAACGCAAGGTGAGTTGACCTAAACAAGCCGCTGGAGATACCTGCTGACTGACTAGATGATTTCTACCTAGCTCTCTCCACTCCTCGCTCTTCTCCTCGTTCACGATCTTCTACTCGCGAAGAAGGGCATTGCCGCCCCGGCAACCCACACACTCCGTCAAACTGTGGAGCGTCACAAGGCTAGGCTAAAGGCTGAGTTCACTAAGGCTCGTGTCCGTCGTGGGTGCGCCTCCGTCGAGCAATTCAAGGCTGTTGTTATTCGTGAGAAAAGACTGGCCGATGGGACCAGCCATTTCGTATACCCGCGCTGGGTGCGCATCAATAACATCCGCACTACCCTCGAAGAGCAGCTGAGCACTACGTTCAAGTCTTACCGTCGGGTAGAAACTATTGCAGAATTGGCCCAAGAAGACGAGCTGGAAAGCCGAAAGCCAGAGCCGAGATTGTTCATCGATCCTAACATTCCGGATTTGGTGGCGGTGCCTTTTGGCGCAGACTTTACTGCCTCATCTGCCTATAAAAATGGTGATATCATTCTACAGGACAAAGCGTCCTGCTTCCCAGCGTATCTCCTGTTGGGTGACCGTGGGCCCAGCGACCCATGGGAGGGTGACTTAGTTGATGGCTGTGCCGCCCCAGGGAACAAAACTACGCACTTGGCCTCGCTTTTGGCTAAACAACAAAAGGGTAGCAAGAACAGCAAACAGAGAATCTTTTCTATGGATGCATCTACCGTGCGTTCTAGAACGCTGCAGAAAATGGTTGGTCTGGCCGGTGCTGATTCGGTCACTGTACTGCAAGGTCAGGATTTCCTCGCCCTTGACCCAGAAGATGAACAGTTTGAAAAGGTTACTGGGTTACTGCTGGACCCCAGTTGTTCTGGTAGCGGAATCATCGGCCGCGACGATGTCCCTCAGTTCACACTCCCTGCCGCGGCAGCATACAAGGCGCCCAAGTCACATGGAAAGAAACGAAAGCGTCCGGACAATGATGATGAAGCAGGTAGCGAGCAATCGAAAGCCACCATGGGAACTCCGCAGGCAGAGCCCACAGATGAAAATGATATTCCGGATGGGACTATTGACCCAGAGCGACTGACCAAACTATCAAGCATCCAAGCGCGAATCGTTGAACACGCTCTGAGTTTCCCGAATGCTACCCATGTGACGTATAGTACTTGTTCTATTCACCTGATTGAAAATGAGGGCGTCGTGGCTCGGATTCTGAATTCCCAAGTCGCTAAAGAGCGCGGCTGGCGCCTCCTGCGGCGCGAGGAGCAGCCTGACGGCTTGCGCCGATGGGAGAAACGAGGTGTGCGAGAGGAGCGACCAGCTTCAGGAGAGATAGGACCATTAGGCACGGTAGACCTCTCTGACGAGGCACTCGAAGCGTGTATCCGGTCCTGGCAAGGTGACGCAGAAGGTCTTGGAGGGTTTTTCGTTGCTGGATTCATTCGTGACCCTAGTCACGCTGTCGCGACCATTCCGGCTAAGGAACGTGGAAATGATGAGCACGATGAGCATAGTGAGAGCGATGAGAGCGACGAAGAAGAAGAAGAAGAAGAAGAAGAAGAAGGAAAGGATGAAGACGATGAAGAATGGGGAGGATTCTCCGATTAGACAAAATCATATTAATGCAAGTTTGGCCAGCCTGCAAAAATTCCCCAGGGCATCTGTTTGATATCATACATTCAAGTCTTGTGTGGCGTATTATGCATTGAAGACTTGAACAGACGCATAGACGATTAAAGAAATTTGCGTGATCGGTTTCGGACCTGTGAACTGGTATATATGTCCAATTTGACAGCAACTAGGACAACCTCGTATGCCCCGGTAGGCCCTTTCTGCACTTGCAATCGCCATTGTCCTGTCCGAACAACCCATGACCCATCATGATCTGTATTATCGACCCGTGGCCGTTTAGCTGGAGGCACGCCATCAGTGCTAGCGCCAGCTTCGGCCTTGGCTTTCGGTATCATCAAATGCTGAGGGTCTTGTTCTCCATCCACCGTGAGATCAGTTTCATGGTCGACACGGACCTTGATTGGAACTTGGCCGAATGGTGGGTGCGAATCAGGCAAACTCATCCTTTTGCCTACCGTCTGTAACAGACTGTTAATTCTTTGTTTTGAAAGGCCTAGGAAGTCAGCACGCATGCTCCCCCGATGAATCAGACTAGACTCGTCGCCTATCTCAACCACCAGATCGGCGGCGTTCTCGTCTACGAAGGGCCGCGTGTATGTGACCATTCCACCCACTGCAGGTGACCCGGAAACGCTATCAAAGGCAAACTGAATTCCAGACGGTCGCACATCTTCCAGCCGGATGACGATTTCCAAACGGTGGCTAAAGGGATTCGTCGTTATCTGATGCGGTATCAACTTTTGTTCAAGGCCGCGCAGGTGGAAATAACGACAGTCGCGTAGGAGGGACGCCCGATGATCCTCGTTTCTAATGTGTAGCGGATACCCGCGCAGTAGATGCAAGAGCTCATCAAAGACATCCGCGGATCTGTTCGGAACGCTTGGAGGGACGATGGCCGGAGGTCGCAAAAGACCCTGGCGGTCTAGGCCCGGGAAGACTTCAGCCGGGGAAGCAAAGAAGGCGGCGAATCCAAGGGTAAAAAAATTCGGGGCATCACCGGGTCCTGAGAAGATATCGCGAGGGATCTGGAAGTGGCGGTCGCCGATTTGAATAAAGCATTCTGACTCGAATAGCTGGGACATCAACCGGGGCACTGTTAGGTCAGCAATTACTTCCAGGTTATTTCGGCAGAGGATGTTCACATGAATAAAATTGCGCATCTGCGAATAGCTTCACAAATTGCGCGCCATCTTGGGGCCGGACGTGGTAGCCTGGATGCGACCATCAGTCTTCATCAACGTTGTGTTTGTCTACGGACTCTCATACCCTGCAGATGTCTAGCGATCTCGCGGAAAGTTGTAGGATCACGATCGATATAGAGGGTCCTGATGTTGGCAGCATCTTGACTTTGAAGCAATTGATCCTCAAAGAAGCGTGAAAAGTAGGATGGAGCTGTTGCCAGGGGGTTAGGTCCAAGTCGGACGGGAGAGAAGAAGAAGCATGTTTACCATCAGAGGCAATTGAAGCACCCGAGAGACGAAAGATCTCGGAACCAATTTGAATAGAGAAAACTTTCTCTGTAGGCAGGTTACATTTGCTAGAGCGAGTGGGAATGCGCATATCCATATTTTGTGTTCTTGAGGAGAGAGATCGAGGTCGGAGGCGGAGAAATTACATTTTGCCTTGACAGGACTACCACACCTGCACTAACTACACCCTACAACTATTTACAACTATTTGTCCAACCTTGAACTTGCCCGACTTTAACTTTCCTATCAACATGTTTTTTTAAGATTAAGCCTCAACTGCAACACCGTTCTCACATGGCACTGAAGCTCGGCATTTTCCCCCGCAAATGAGCCCGTGAGCCCCTGTTTCGGAGAAAGAGGGGGGTATCCAGGGAACTTGGGCCCAAATGGAGATTTGCGTGATCTTGACTGGTCGAGACGAGATTGAAAGACTCCACCACTTCAAGAGACCAAAAGCCATGCTCACTAACTCTCCCTCAACCGAGGCTTTTCTCCCGGTTTGTGTTTTTGGGTTACAAGGGCTGAAGGGGGCTGACATCGCATGACAGTCGCATGAGGAGTCTCTCTCCACGATCAACCATGCTAAAGATGAACCACTTTGAACTCTGAATATGTATTTGTTGTCATAGTGTCATAGACCTTGGCAAGCTAGCATTATTATACTCCGCGATCCCCTGCCCAGGTGGAATCCTTCTTTCTTTACTTCACAATCTCATTTCTTATTCTTATTTTCACCACCTATTGGAGCTTGATATACTAGAGCTTCGTTTGCTTTGGTTCTTGCAAACATGGCAACCCACGCTATGTCCACATACACCCCAAGGGATGTCCCTCTTCCGTCAGCACCTTCGGCCACTTACTTCTCGGAGTTGCAGTGGAAGACACTCTATGCGCTGGCTGACGCAATTGTGCCCTCCATACATACGGCAGCAACTGTCAAGTCATCGAACGACCGGGTGATTTCAGATGCGGAGTGGAATTCTGCCGTGTCGAGCTTGTCAAGAATCATTTCTGGACCTGACGCCGTAAAAATTGCCACCCAGTATCTGCAAGAAAATGTGTCTTTGAACCCGCAATTCCGGGCCGTAGTGGAGCGACTGCTGGGTGACTATGTGCATACTGAGGGGAGAAATGGGATTGGGTTGATCATGACCGCTCTCAACACCCGTGCGGGCTCGCTGATTATGACGGGCTCGACCACTCCGATCCAGGACCAACCGGTGGAATTCCGGGAACAAGTTTTACGTGGATGGGACACCTCTCGATTGCCCCCTCTCCGCGCCATCTATCGAGGCCTCACCGCTATCGTTAAAAAATGTTGGGTTCTCAGCAGTCCTACCATAGGCCTAGTTCTGGGGTTCCCACGCATCCCTGTTCATGGTCAGCTTGCCGACAGTTTCCAGTATGAGTTTTTGCAATTCCCTCCTGGGGACCAGCCAGAAACGATTGAAACCGATGTTGTTATCGTGGGAAGTGGCTGCGGCGGTAGCGTGACTGCAAAGAATCTAGCCGAAGCGGGCCATCGAGTGCTGGTTGTGGAAAAGTCCTATTCCTATCCATCCAACACTTTCCCCATGGGCCCGAATGAGGGATTTACTAACATGTTTGAGAACGGGGGTGCTATCTCCACCGATGATGGCTCGATGGTAATTCTAGCGGGCTCAACGTGGGGCGGTGGTGGTACCGTCAACTGGTCGGCATCTCTACAGACGCAGGGGTATGTCCGGCAGCAGTGGGCGGATACTGGTCTACATTTCTTCACCTCTCTCGACTTCCAGAAAAGTTTGGATCGTGTCTGTGATCGTATGGGTGTTAACGAGGAGCACGTTGAGCATAACCGTCAGAATAGGGTGATTCTTGAAGGCGCAAGGAAACTGGGCTATGCTGCCAAAACAGTGCCCCAAAACACAGGTTATGGCGAGCACTACTGTGGGCATTGCACGTTGGGATGTGCCTCAGGTGGGAAAAAGGGTCCAACGGAGTCGTTCCTTGTGGATGCTGCTCAGGCTGGCGCGAAATTCATGGAAGGATTCTGTGCTGACAAAGTTCTATTCACCAATGTCAACGGCAGAAAGGTTGCTTCTGGCGTACAAGGAACTTGGAAGTCGCGCGATTCGTACCTGGGCCTCGGTGGTATTGGGGTCGTGGAGCGTAAGGTGATTATTAAAGCTAAGAAAGTGGTGGTATCAGCTGGCACATTGCAAAGTCCTCTTCTGCTACTGCGCAGTGGATTAAAAAACCCCCATATTGGTCGAAACCTTTATCTCCACCCCGGTAAGACCTCTTCACTTCCCTCGACAGCGCACATCGCAGGCACTTACTGTTCGTTATACAGTCATGGCAGCTGGTGCCGTCTTTGATGAGGAGACCCGCCCCTGGGAAGGCTCTGCATTGACAACGGTTGTCAATGAGTTCGAGGACCTTGATGGAGATGGACATGGCGTGAAGATTGAGTCTCTCTCGATGATGCCCTCCTTATTCATTCCCATGTTCCCCTGGCGAGACTCATTGGAGTACAAGCTGTGGGCGGCTAAGATGCGCCGCAGCACTGGCTTCATCACGTTAACCAAAGACCGTGGTTCCGGTCGTGTTTACCCTGATCCCGTTGATGGACGTTGCCGGGTTGATTACACGGTCTCTGCTTTTGACCGAAAACATATTGTGGAGGCCATGATTGCCAGCGCCAAGATTGCGTATATCGCAGGCGCCACAGAGTTCCATACCGTTTACCGCGACCTTCCCCCGTTCATTCGGCCAGATGCTTCGGATCCCGAGGGCCCTGAAGGCACCAACGATGCGGCCCTTCAAAGTTGGATTGCCGAGCTTCATCGAAAGTCCCCTTTGAACCCGGAGCGTGGTTTGTTTGCTAGTGCACACCAGATGGGTACCTGCCGTATGAGCAAGTCACCTAAATCAGGTGTGGTGGACCCGGATTGCCAAGTCTGGGACACTGACGGTTTGTATGTCGTAGATGCGTCCGTGTTCCCAAGCGCTAGCGGTGTGAACCCAATGGTCACTAACATGGCGATCGCCGATTGGGCCAGCCGAAACCTCGCGCAGGCGATAGGAACGGTACGAGGCGAGGGCAGCGTGATGGCTCGTCTATGATGGGATGCTTGTGGGATATCTCTTATCTTGTCAATATGTACTGTTCTGTTTGGACCGCTTGAAAGCCAGTCGGTTGTATTCATGATATCCCTAACAATATCTTATAGGTTCTTTTGTTTGATGTTGTACATGATTCAGGTGTTTTGTGAAGCCGGATATGATGTCTTGATTTTTTCCCCGTCTGATCGGGTGCTAATGCTATATTTCTTTTTATCATGTTAAATATCAAGCGTTGTGGCCCTGTCGCTTCTCAATATAATTCTTCTCGCCAAAGGCCTCTTTGACGCCCTTAGTCTCGAGGACTCGCTCGTACCAGGCGACCACCGAGGGGTACTTCTGGCGCATCTCAGCATCGATGACCATTCGGAAACCCCAGATCAGGGCAGAGGCAGCAGTGATATCTGCTAAGCTGAGCTTTTCGTTGCCCACAAACCAGGTGCGGCCCTTGAGGTGAGTCTCCAGACATTCCAGCGAGCGTTCCAGACGCCCGAGGTTTGTCTCCTCGACTTTCTCATCGTAGGGCCGGAGACCGACACGCCACATGGCCAACTGCGTCACAGGGTCTATGATCTCGCCCTGTGCGTAGCAGATCCACTGCCGGATGGTAGCGCGCTCGGCAGGGGTAGTTCCAATGAGCTGGTCAGCGGCCGGCCCGCTCTCGGCAATGTATTGGGTGATGGCGTCCGACTCGAATAGGGTTGTTCCATCGGCAGCCTCAAAGCCGGGTACCTTACCCAAAGGGAACTTGGACAGGAAATCCGGGGTACGGTTGGTTTTGCCCATAGCAAATTCCGGAACCGCCAGTTCCAGGCCATTCAGATTGGCCACAGCCTGGGCCTAGGAGGGGGGAGTTAGCTGACTTCTAAGCCAGGGGGATGCAAATTCCCATACCTTCATGACCCGGGGATTGGGCTGATAGGAGTAGATAGTGCCGAAAGGTGCCATTGTGGATATGACTGAGGTGAGATGAACCAATTTACATTGTAGATGGAGGGGGGTTTTATATGAAACTAAAGAATGGGGCGGAAACAAGTGGAACCCGGATTGCTAAGCAGATGAATTCACTTGTGCAGGAAGTTAACTAAGAATATTGAAGAGTTGGAAATTTCATAGATTCTCAAGATTTCACAGCAAGATGCAGGGGTTATCTATACTTAGTTACTATTGGGGGGAAAACTTCGGTAGAAGTCTACAAACTCCTCGTGGCTCTCTATCCTTTCTAATAATCTCCCAACTTGACATAGATGTATAAGCATAACGCATTTTCAAGTCTTTTGATTCCCCTCTCACAGGTTTCTCTCACAAGCCGAAGGGGGAGGCCCGAGGTCTTGGTAGGCTGATAACTGGTTGTATCGAAGAGTGAAGCCTGGCGTTACAACCAATCTAAAGGAAATGTGGGTTTCCCCATTTTTCCTGGTCATCTCAATTAGAGGCAGTAAATGATGTTTGCAATTCCAAGGAAAAGATGAAGATAACTTGATCAAAGAATTCCAATGGAGTTGTCATAGGTCGACTCATATTACGGAGCTCAACCCCGCCCAGTCCCTTTTAAAGCCCAGTTATTATCCAAGAAGAAAGCGGGAAAAAAAAAAGAAAGCGAGAAAAAGAGGAAGAATACCACCAGTCCTATATCATACAAAATCAAAATGTAGTCAACCTCGACACGTCCGTCTTGGATCTACTACTAGGCCACACCCTAGCATACCTCACCCAGGCGCATATAGTTCCAACAAACTGCAATTTGGATCAGCTTTTCAATCCACAATTTTTGGGATAAAGACTCACTTGTATGTCCCATGTCTTTACCAAACAAGGTTTTCATCAAGTCTTCGCCCTCGCGTGTACCCTCGCTCGGGACATAACTGACGGCCGTTTTGCCGACGGCGAGGCCCATCACAGACGGGAACGGCTGCAGGGTCTGATAGTTTGGCTTTACACCAGTACATTCTGCCATCATGTGCTGATGAATGTTCATCGCGGCGTAATGGCCCATATGCATTGCACCACCGCAACGCTTAATACCTTCCCACGCTGTGAGGTCTCCCACTGCCCAATGATGCTCTGCGTTAGGGATAGCGCCGGAGAATTGTAGTCTATGGAGATATTAATAATAGTCTGTGAGCAACTTGGTTGAGGAAACAGCCTTACGAGCGGTGCACTTTGATGTATCCTTCCTCATTCAGTGCTTCTTTTGGCAGATATGTCGATGTTGGGACGCTCTGAGAGACAGCATTTAGAACATGACCAGTTCTGAGTTGTTGGCCATCGCTGAGTATGAGGTTCCAGGCCCGCGTCCCATCTTTCGTATTTACAGCGATTGTACTGACAACGCGCTGTCCCAGGATGACTTCGACTCCTGTATCACGCAATATAGAATCTACGCGCTCAGCAAACTCATCCGGCAACGGTTCCGAAGATAGCAGGCGCTTTCGAGAGTGGATCAAGGTGACCTTCTGTTCCGGGTTGAGTATTTTCAATTCGGCAGCCATCTCCACACCCACAGCACCTATCCACGAAAAAAGGGATGTTAGTGGGTATGAAAGTAGCAGAGAGTGACGGATAGCACAACATACCTCCACCGACAACCACGATACCATCACGGGCATGCTTCACCTCCGTCATATGTTCTCTAGCTTCCTTGAGGAATTCATCTCGCCGCAAGGATTGGGGAACTGTGGGGAAAGACCGACGCAGCCCCGAGCTTGCAACCAAGTAGTCATAGGGCTCAGTGTGGTTGCTCTTGGTCTCTGCATCGACAATATGGGCAACTTTGGCGTTGAAATCCACTGAGCTGACACTTCCCTGGATAAAGCTGAGATCTGGATGCTGGAGCCCAGGAATATCTTTGAAACGAGTCCATGCCTCGGATGCGAATTTTTCACAGGCCAGGGCCTTTGGGGATCCAATCAGATGAACTACACATGTGAGTGGAAGTGTGGTCATGGGGGAATTGTCTATCTTCTGAGGGAACTTACAATAGCCATCTCGCTTATCAACTACAGTTATCTGTAATGGGATACGGTGTGTAGGAGCCTTGTCGTCAGGATTGCAGCTGAAACGGGCGAGACGACCCTGTGAAAGATCGATGAGGGCTAATACAGTAGATAGCCCACCATAAGAGCCACCAATCACGAGTACTCGGAACTTGCGGGATACAGTTCGGACAAAGTCATTGGAGGGCATGATGAGTTGAAAAAGGAGAGGTGGGACACGAACAATGACCGAACAATGACAATGAAAAGGAAAGCGGGAAAGATAATGAAGAAATAAAACTGAGACAAGGAACTTGGCTATGTACTCGAAAGAAAAAAAGCAAAAAGCAAAAAACAAAAAGCGAAAGGGAAAAAGAAAAAAGGGATATAGCGTCATATCGTCGGATTATGCGGGTCCGGATCTTATCAGATTGAAAGCGACATCGGATATAGTACATGTATTGTTCCAAGGTTCCAAGGTTGTTCTGTTGGCCTTTGCAAGGTTCTTGGCTCGGGTTATCAGATCCGATGGCAGCCGTGAAAGGGGATCCCTCAGTTGTTTACAATATTGGACATACTTACTACTACATAGTAGTAGTAGTCATGCCGTTATACCCACATACATGTATGTATTAACTGAACCTCAACCGGTTATTCCGTATACATACATACCTACTTTACACACATTACGGTAATCCGTTAAACATCAATACATATGTAGATGTATTCTAGTCCACGAAATATACAATTCATGTTGTACATGTAATGATGCCGTTGCTCTAAGGATCTGGTTTTCTATTTTCATACTATATATACATTATGTATGTACTTCGTACTTTGTATATGATCACAAGTTGGAAGAAAAGTAAAAAAAAAAAAGAGATTTACCGGATGCACGGACGACAAGACATTTAAAGGCTTTTGCATATGTATCAGCCACGGGCATGTCGGTTCTGCCAAAAAAAAATTGAGTTTGTGTATACATACAGCCGAGGCGTGTTTTGTTCCAAGGTTAATACACCCTTTTTTTTCCATGGTTCAATACAGCCACACATCCCAAAATGGTAACGATTATCGATCAGACAAGATGGGCATCTAATCTGATCCTAAGAAGTGCGCACACCTGGGCAAGTGGACCACTCCAGTACTGAAGCCGACGTGACAATGAAAATGGCGCATTTCGCTGCAGGATCCGCTTTTCGTTCAACTTACTTGACGTTACAAGCGTTGGACTAGTACTCTGGCGAATTACAATAGAATCTGATAAGATACACCCGTAGACCCGTAGACCCCTCATTTAATTTATGTAATTCATCTAATTTGTTTCAGGAGAGTTTTAGGGTTGCAATTTTGATTTGTGAGTTTAGTTTGTCAATAGGATAGGGGTATTATTGCAAACTCTAGAAACTCTATACAAGACACAAGGACTGTACATTCTGTGCTCTTCCTTTCTTTTTTCCCCTCGCTCACGCCTTCTGGCGCTCGGCCAGCACTGCCATCGCCATTTGTCTTAGCTCCACCTTGCGGACTTTGCCGCTTCCTGTCACAGGAACCGTGCTTGAAGCCCCCTCTTCTCCAAATACAAACACATGCTGCGGGGCTTTGTGTCGACCCAAAGTCTCCCGTGTCCATGCGCGCAGTTCGTCGTCGGTCGGACGACTGGCGCCCGCAGCAATCGCGATAAATGCTCCCACGACCTCACCGTATTTGGGGTCTGAAATACCAATTACAGATGCTAACTCAATTGAGGGATGCGCGGCCAATCTTTCTTCAATCTCGAGAGGGTATATGTTCTCGCCGCCTATCATATGTCAGAATTGATCGATGTCTAAATTGAAGGGGGGGCCGGCGGGGGTTCAAACTTACCGCGAATGATGATATCCTTGAAGCGACCAGTGATGGTGCAGTACCCTTCCGCATTGAAGGAAGCTTCGTCGCCGGTCTTGAGCCATTTGACACCCTCAGCATCGGTTATGAATGTCTCTGCTGTTTTCTCCGGGTTATGCCAGTATCCTTTGGTGAGTTGGTAGCCGGCCATACAGAGCTCACCACGCTGTCCAACGGGAAGAATGTTTCCCTGTGCATCGATAATCTTGGCGCGAGCGTGGGGCATAACCTTTCCGACAGTGGTCAATCTTGTGTGGATGCTGTCGGTGGTGAACGCATTGAAGCAAGTGGGCGAGGCCTCCGTGAGACCTAGAGCTTGGGTTAGCACTTGATCAACAGGCTAATGGGAGGGACAGTACCATAGCTACTAGTGTATTCGGTCATATTCAATTCTGCAAAGAGTCGCTTCATGAGTGGCCGTGGAACTGGAGCTCCAGCAATGATACCTGTTCGGAGGTTTGAAGTGTCAAAATTCGACGGCTTTGGCACGGCAAGGATCGCCTCAAACATGGTTGGAACACCGTGCAGAGCAGTGCACTTCTCGTCCGAGATGGCATGCAGGACCGCCTTGGGGTCGAAGGTTTCGCTAGGGAAGACAATTTTGGAACCATGGGTGACCACCGCGAGCATGCCTAGCACCAGCCCGAAGCAGTGGAACAGGGGCGGCGGGCAGCACAAAACATCAAAAGAGGTGAGATTCATTCGATCACCGATGAAACGCGAGTTATTAACCAAGTTGCTGCGGAGGAATTAGCTATATGTAAGAACAAATTCTCGAATATCATCCACATACTGGTGTGTCAACATTGCAGCTTTAGGATTGCCTGTTGAACCGCTTGTGAATTGCAAATTGCAGACATCATCCGGCCGCAACTCGGCTTCGCGGTCCTGGAGAACATGTACAGCCTGCGACAGGCCGCGTTCCATGACATCATGATAAGCGGTGAAATTGTCGTAGCTTCCACGGAGAATGACGATTTCCTCCAATGATTCTGAGGTCGCAGCTTTTTTAGGATTAGGACCGAGTTCGGTAAGGACTTCCTCGAGATTATGACGCCCAATGCGTGGTGTCATGAAAAGCATTCGGCACCCTGAATGGAAAAAAAAAAAACAAAAGCCGAGATTAGTATGGAGTCAGAAATACGGGAAGTGGATATCACCCACCACTGTGATTTAGAGCGTAATACAGCTCGGAGGGGGTGTATGTGTTGTTCAAAACGACCAAGATAGCCCCAACTCGTGCGGCCGCAAAGAATACCGAGATGTATTGCTCACAATTGCCAGCCATAATTCCGATGCGATCGCCTTTTTGAATTCCGGAAGCCAACATCCCCCGAGCTAAACGATCAGACTCATCTTTCAGCTGGCCGTATGTCCATCGCGCACCGGTCCAGGGGAAGACCAAGCACTCAATTCTCCCATATTGCAGTGCTTGAAGTGTCAACAGTTCACCCAAAGTAATGTCTAGCAGCGGTGGCTCCGTCGAGCCTGCGACAAGAGACAACTGTGGACTAATAGGAGGTTGTACATGCGACAATGTCTGCTGCAAGCGCTGTACACTTCTTGGGGCCGCCATGGTGGGTAGATGGAAGTTGAAGAAGAGGAAAATCGGATAGAAAAAACCTCGGACAGAGCGGGTTTATAGATGTAGCCGACAATACCGCGACAAATTTCGCACAAGATAAATTCCATTTCATTAATTCCATCAGATAGGCTGAGGGCTCCACATCGGAGGTTTTGTATTGGTAATTTCAGGGTTTTTTTTCCCAAGATTTTCGAAAGTTGGCTTTTATGCTTGGCTCGTCCTAGATCTTGGCATCTTACCAGACTCCACTCAGCCTTCAAGCGAACCTCCAGAACCTTCAGGGCTTGTAACCTTGGCGTGATACGTAAGCCCAGGATCAGATAACTTTCCAGGGTTGTCTGCAGAATCCCAAGTTCAGGGCTCATGGGGTTTATCAATCAGTTGGGAAGATGTATATCCGCAGGTGAGTGGAGCCCATGGTGCTTACTCGGTATACTATGTACTTGGTACATACAACAATGCGTATAATATCTCAGCAACCGGGACACATTTCCGAGTTGATATGAGTAATTGGAGGGTACTGACTCTTGGCAGGTCTCGTCATTCCGAATATTCATCTTCGCTTTTGGAAAGATGAGGGACAGTCAGCGGGTCAGGGTCCACGGGTACTATATAGCCCGAGAAGACCCAGCATACAATATATCCATCCATGGAAGGATATAATTTAATTTTCAGATTCGCTCAGCTTCACTTCAAAAAAAAAAAAAAGAACCATAAACCATCAAAATCATCTATGTATCATTGTGCGAGTATGGAATCCTGGCGACCTTGGGAAATCTAATCAATCGGGCTGATCTAATCAATCATTCCCGACATCGGCGGTCGGACCCACTTGAAAGAATACCACTATGTACCAGTTGAAAGATTCATGTATTATTGCAGGGAATATGTATACATAGTATACCTATGTAGGCACTCCGTACTCCTTACATATATGTGCTATTGTAGAATGTGTTAAATTCAAATACACTACTAGGACTGAATGTACGTTTTAGTTGGGCTTCTATCCTTGTTTCTACATGATGGTTGCTTTAGTAGTATTATTGTTAACTTCATTCTCTCGTTGGGCTGTCTATCCAGCTGTTAAGAGTGGATCGGTCTATCGTTGATTGTCAACCAAACAACAAAGATTTCCCATACGATCAGATAACCAGGTGCAAACTTCCCATCTTCGGCATACTCCAAATCCAAGTACCGGTCACAAGACAGTGTAACATGGCAGTTGGAAGGCGTGAGATTCTACATGCCGAATTTTCCGCCCTTTGGTACAGAAAGAGCTGTACAGCCTTTCCAGTCGCAGGTGTGCTGCGAATAGTCAGCACGAGTGATTGAACGTAAGAGAGCCAAACACACTTTGTGAACCTCTGTTCCCCACCAGTTGAAGTGTTTGCTGGCTCCAGTGAAATAAATTGTCAAGAAAATTATTGCACCGGCGATTCCTACAGATGAGTCCATTGCAGAGCTCAGCACAAAGTTGTATTTACTCCACCAGCCATGCAGACGCTTTCGAACGAGCCAGCCGAAGGTGAGTCCGACAACAGCCCAACTTCCATAGTTCATTCCTGTGGCAGGGGGTAGGTAATTCAGCCCCCCAAGGAATAATGGAACATGAATCTTTCTCCAAAGCGACTTGGGGTATTGGCGGGTCATGTAATACACGGGGATAGGTAAAATGGCACCGATGATGAAGAAATAAAGTAAAGCGGAATAGCCAATTTGGCTCGAAAAATAACGACGAGGGCCTACCGCGCCCCAGATCAAAGAAGTATTGAAGTGGGTGCTGCTGTAAGGACAACTGAAACCATTGACAGCAGCGCTAGTGCAGATACCTGTAATGTGATTCATGGCCCAATTGAGGACACCGAGTGAAGAGAGAGTACCAACAAGCATTCCAACGCATTGAACCAGGAACAATTTTCGTTGGGGGATCTTCGGGGTATTAGCATCGTACAATCATAGTAGGAAGGGAGAGCGCTTACATGACAATAGTAAGCCAGTTTCATATCCTGAGCAAAGTAAAGACCCTTGATAGTCGTGATGTATCCGATGTCGAAGAACCAGATATTGGCCAGGACGTTGCCCTCAAAGACGAAACCAGCCACGATCCGGCAGAAAATATCGATATTGATCTTGAGGTTAGAAGTGGCATAGACCAAAGCCAACTATGGTTGGTCAGAGAGATGTGTCAGATGCGTAAATCGGTACATTGAGCAAACTCACTGCAGGATAGAATACCAGTGCCACAGTGCACGCCAGCAAAACACCATACCATCTCAGTTCAACGTTCCACCACTCAACGGCGAACATTGCCATGAACAAGGCTAAGATGCATGCGGCCAAATACCACCACAAGGGCACATCTGGGTCTCCCCCCTCATCCTCACTGTACTTCCTGGAGCGGCCAGGAAGAGAATCCAGGACCAGCCGAGGCACCCTTTTGACTGCATCGGCCATGACTTGACGCCTTTCAAGGATCACCCAAACAAGAAGAGCGCTCAAGGTAGCAAATAATAGCCCAAACATGTTCAACGCGTAGGTAACTGGCATATAGACCTGATTTTGTAAGTTAGCTGGATGTAAAATTTTTAGAATATGCAAAATTACCGGCGAGTAAGCAATGTACTTCTTAACATCGAGCTTGTAACCTGAAGCCACATTAACAATCTTTTTGACTTTGTATGTACTTCCAGTATTGTCGAACACTGTTTGCAAAGGTCAGATTGATTTGGTCTTTCTAAGGGCTTGAATGGATGGATTGTACCTTGAGAGCTTTGAAAAGGTAGATAACCTGTGTTCCAAACATTGGTATAGTAACAAGCAACAGCCACAATCCAAATCCAGAACGCCAGGGAAGCAAAGACGTTGAGAACTGCCCACGACGGAATGAGTAAGGGAGACCCAACGTAAGATATTTGACTCCCTATGGTGCCTGTCAGTACGGCGATTGACCTGCAAAGTTTCATCGATCTTGTGACACTCACAGTCAAAGGTAATCGGCAACAGTCCCATTCCGGAGCTCATTCCGAAGATCTGATTGACCACTTTGTTGTTAGGTTTGATCCAACACGGAAAGCTGAAATAGCTAAGCGCCGGGAAGATGAAGTCCGGGAACCAATACCAGCAGAACGAGATGCAAAATGCCACAGTGAAGAAGGCATAGCGAGACATTTTCCATGTATTGTAACTAATCATCCATTAGCTCCATTGCGCCAAGAGAACAAATCCAGGGGACTTACCGCACTTGCATTTGTTCCTGGTTGACATGATGCAGCGTTGTGGTCAGCGCAGTAACACCCAGAACTCCAGGCCAGATCAGTTCTTCGGGCACGACAACAATTGTCCGGAATAATCCAGCAAGACAGAACCCGATCAGGAATGTGGAGAAGGTAATGAGGATTTGGAATCCCCATCCTGCCTTGTAGCCGTAGAACATTTGCTGCTCCGTCAGAACATCAGCGCCGAGACGAACGTAAATACTGAGGTTGGACATTATGAAGATTAAAACATGCTCCTGGGGGGATCTTTATTAGATTCATTACTTTGACTTTTACCAGCGGACTTGCCTTTGTATTAAAAGGGCCAGGATTGAGATCAAATGCCAACCTTCCTAGCGGAAAAGTCCAGTTCGGGATGACTTTCTCCCAAAGCTTTCCCAAGGGATAGGTCAATAAGAGTACGACCGAGCCTGAAATTGTCAAGGAAGGTGTGCGAAGCGTGTACAGTGTATTCAACCCGCTAATGAGGACACAAAAGGAAATTCCTAGCACCCACATACGAAGAGTGAGAACGGGTTCAGTAGGATCATCTTTGGCTATGCCTATACCGGCAGCCCGCAAGATTTCGGTGTGCGAATCTACATCTGTACTAGGTGAGGATTTCGAGAAAGGCTGAACCAAAGACAGAAATCGACGTAAATGAACTTACCGGAATCTGTGTTGTTTTCATCCTGGACTTCTTTTTCCCGGATGGATTTCTCTAGGAGATTAACGTCTTTGTTTTTGTTGGCTTCTTCCATGGTGGGTTTGGGGGATGGGAAAGGGAAAAGGACACCAAAGGATCAGATAAATAGGTCACATCAGATAAGATTCCCCTGGCAAAAGAACGTGTAATTGGGATGCAATATTGGAAGGAATCCGTGGAAATACAGTGGAAGTACAGGGTGTTCCACCGTGGTTCTATAAGGCCGTAGACCTCCCGAGGTCCATGGCCAGGAGAGAGACAAGCTTCATTCTCCGCCTGAGTCCGCCGCATTAGTGGATATTACTACGGATTATGGAGGACTTCATTATTTATTTTCAAAGGTACATTACCTAGGTAAGTTGATGTTAGTAGTGATCAATACATAGAAGATTGAAATTATATCCTAATTTCTTTGACTATCTGCATATGATGAGATTAAAAAAATCTAAAAGCACAAGAAAAGCGAATCTAGACCCTGTAACCTTTCCTGACTCGACACAGAAAAATCATGGTGGCTATAACCGTATGTATGTGGTATCTTGTATGACCGCTATATGAACTGGCATAATGCATAACGCGTACTTCAAAATGATCACAGGGATGCAAATCTGCATGCTACCGGTGTGTATGTACAACATAATGGGCAGACTCCACAGCCCATGGCTTTCCCCACTCACGGGATCAATGAATCCTCTTCTACCACTGCGACACGCACTTTGATGCCCCAGCCATTTCGCCCACCAATCCAATTCTTCCGCTTTCCGACCTTCTGGATTTTCTGCACGTCATTTTCGAGCTCTTGCTTCAAGTGAGACGGGTCATATGAAAGTCTCTGGATGGCAATTGTTAAGTCTAGGCCATCTTTCTTGCCCTCCTTGCCTAACCCGTTTTTCCAGTGTGCCGAGGGAACAATTCGAGGCTTGGAGGTGTCGATGGACCCTGTTGGGTACAACCGACTCAGGACGAGGCCGACTTTTCCAAGATAACGTGTCCACCAAACCTCCTCTGGTGTCAAGATTCCTTGAAGATGGGTCTTTAAATCCATATCTCTGGGTGGCAATTCCCCACCATAACGCTCCTGGAGCATCAGTGCCAAAAGTGCACGGTGGGCATGGGGAATACCATGTGTGGAGGCTAGGATCCCAGTGCTAGTGCTATATAGCGCGGCGCTGGAGGATATTTCTTTGGACATTGTGGCATGATAATAGAGGGCATTAGCAAAGGCCTGGATGAGGTGAAGACTGATGGAAGATGGAAATGATCGGCTGGCAGATGGTCGAGGGAGGGCAGCTAACAATAAAGCGGCCAGCGGCTGGGCCGAGGAGGGCGCATAAAGAGCCGTGGCAACCTCCAAGGGATCCTGCTGACGGACAATCGGGGGCATCTCACGGAACAGCATTCCTTCCCGCACTCCACCTTGGCAGAAATGGGCCTCTTTGATTCCATATGGTAATGATTGCGCCAGTGTATTGACTAAGAATGCCACTGAGGGCACTTGCTTGCGTCGCCGGTCGGAGACTCGGAATATTTCATGTGCCGTCCGAGCCACCTCTTTCAGAGTCTCCGTGTCCTCGAAGTCTTTCTTGGGTGCAGAAAAGCCATTGATAATCGAAATAGGGTAACTTCGATCCTTCGTCTGGTGCAGATATAACAGAAGATAGCCCCAACCTCGAAATCCTCCTCCTGAGAGATAAAGAGGAAAGCCTCCTTGCTCTCGGGCCTTTTGAACAAGTTGTTCGGGGACATCGAGGGTATCAAAAGCGGCGCGAAATTTGTCTGCCATTTCCACGCGGAATCGCTCCCGCGCTTTTTGCGCTTCCTCTTTATTTTTGTCCCGTTTGAGGTCTGCCAGTTTCTGGGTCAATGCGGCTGCTCCGTAGGGAAAGCTGATTGATCCTCGGGAACTCATATGCACATTGCCCGCATGCGATGTGATCCAAGTCATCTGCATGCTTCCACCCCCTAAATCAAGTGCGAGTCCCTCAACATCCGAAAAGCTGCTGGCAATTCCCCATGCTCCGATGACTCCCTCCTCTTCCTTCGGTAATGCTTCCACTGAAATCCCGGTTTTGTGGCGGATGGCGTCAATGAACGCAGAAGCATTGATAGCAGTTCGAGTTGCCTCCGTGGCGATGATCCGAACGTTCTGAGTGGGAACTCCAATTTCTACGCAGATAATCTGGAAACGAACTATGGCACTGACTATTCGGTCGATGATATGCTGTGGAATGGGGATCCGGCGGCCTGAGTCGGGCTCCACTTGAGCCTCGTAGAGCGAGATATCGACCCGATGAAAATGTACGGTAGGGATAATACGGGTGGTTGGGGGTGAGAGGTCTGAGATCGAACAACGGATGCCATTACTGTGATATTTTAAGTCAGCGATTAGTTCTCACCTGAAAGAGGACCTAGTCTCAGCCTACCTGCCCAAATCAACCACTGCATGAAGGTATACATTCTGCCCCTGGTCAAGTGAAATTTTTTTGTCATTCATTGCTGAAGTTTGGTTTCCTCCTCCCATTGTGGTAAATGGCAAACAGCTGCTCAGATGTACATTGTACAGGTTGAATCCCTACAGATACCTCTGAAGAAAAAAAACCCGTGACATCATTGTTCTCGACCGCCCGCTATTCTGCCGCATAATGACAGATATCTACCGGTATAAGTAGTTTCCAGTTACATTATTATTACTCAAAAAGAATGTTGATATTGATTTATTAGCTTGCCGAGCGGCAATCCAACGCATTGTGATCAGATATGCCAAGTACATCGTACATTACGGAGTAAAGAGCAATCTTCTTGGTAGTGGCCGACATTCGGAGGCATTAATGTCCGACTACTCCGTATGGTGGAAATGTATGGGTCCAATCAATGGTCTTCAACTCTCCGTATTGCTGTATTGACTTCCTGGCAATTTATACTGTCCTGATTACATAAGAAATATTACTGCATACTTAGGATTAATAAATCCTCCGGTATCCTGGTGTATCTGCGCCGACACACCCCCTCAGCGGTCCCAGTATACTTGCTGAGATCGCTGTATCATCTTGTAATTCCTAGTCTATAAGATAGCCTATATCAACCATGTTGAGCAGTCGCACGAAGCTCTTATGCTTTTGCCGAGTGAGCAATTTGGTGAGGCCATCAGCAACCATGCTTACTGTAGGCACCCAGCGCACCCGTATTCGACCCTGTTGGACTTCCTGGCGGAGCCAATGGTGGTGAATATCGATATATCGAAGCTTCGTTTCAAAAGCTGTATCCTCGCTTATCAATAAGCTGATAGTCCTCTCGTTATCACAGTCGATTGTCAGGTGGTGTGACGGAGTAAAGGCGAGGTTTTGAAGCAATCGGCGCCACTATTGGAGCTGCTTTCCTACCTCCGATAGGCCGAGTAGCTCTGCTTCTGTGGTTGACGTTGTTACTGTGGGTTGCTTACTTACTTTCCAGTCAATTGGACCGCCGTATACTTGACAGATATACCCAGCTGAGCTTTTTCTATCCGGGTGGTCTCTATACGAAGCGTCACTTGCAAACTGCACCGAGTCGGTCCCAGTATTGGCTGTTCCGTACTCAATCGCTAGGTTCCGGGTAGAGTAGAGGTAGGTGATAACTCGATCAGCTGCTTACTGGTGCTGTGGACCGGGGTTCGTGAGAAATTACGCGAGCTTCGCGGTCGCCTTTGCAGCGTCGGGCCTAGTGATAATAGTGGTATACCCTGCTGAGCCCACCTTTTGCTGGTATAGTAGGATTTCCTTTAGCGTTGCCACCCCCTGAAAAGGGGTCAATTCCTTAACCGGCAGTGGAGTATAGACTGGTGCCCTTTCTGTTAAGTGATATCGGGTAGCAATACTTGTTATATAGCTATCTTGATATAACCAGAGCTTCTTTTATTGCCGGTCTCGAATGATTCGTATATTTAGGAACTATACTGCTTCTCTATAATCGGTCAGTTCCCAGTGTGCTTCGAGATCTCGCTCTAATTACTGTGCCTGCGCCTTTGTATTGGTATAACTAGCGATTAGGATATTATCTATATAGAAGAAAACCAGTAGTCCTTTTCCTATAAAAACGCATAGGTCTTCTGGTACTTGCTGTAGACCTAGCTTGCGGAGCACGCTTGCTGCTTCTTGCTGCCAAAGTCGTGGTAAAATCCGTAGACCGTATAGCGCGCGACGTAACTTCCAGCATTTACCTAGGTTTTGAAATCCCTCAGGTATATACGTATACGTCTCTTGGTCTAACTTACTGTTTAGGAACGCGGTGACAGTATCTCTCTGTCTTAGGTCAAGATCAAAGGCAGCAACCAAGGTAAAAATCATCCTCGCTGTCCTTGCTGCTAGCGTAGCAGCTCTCTTTTCCTCGTGAGAGATGGTTTCAAGGTCTCCGCGCACACAGATACGGGCCTTAAGCTTCAAAAGGTACCCGTCCTAGTCAAATTTGTATAAGAATACCTATAAAAGAGGGAGAATCTGCTTCCCTCGGTCTCTTGGTTTCTTAATAACCTCAAAAGTCCCCTTTTCAGAGAGGGAGTTAATCTCCTTCCTTATCGCTGCGAGAAAACCTTCCTGAAATAGGTGGTTTATTATATCCTTCCAGTATTTTGGCGGTGGTAGGAGGTCGTCTCGGTGGCGGCGAGTGTCTGGTTTCTCAGCGTATAAGCCAGCGGTAAAAGCATAGAGTAGCGCCGGCGGTTCTACTTCTTAGGTAGTGCTTATCGCGTAGGCGAAGTCTTTTTCCTACCTTACTTAGCGTCTACGCCTACCACTGAGTATATTGCTGGTATCTATATCTCCGATTATCTCTCTTCTCGGAGCCAGTAGCTCTGCCTGAAGTTGCTTCTCTAGTTTGTCTTCAGTGGTTTCAAGATCCGCTTCTTCTTACTGGATCTAGTCCCTTTAATCTCCCTCGGTATCTACCCCCTAACCAGAGCCAGTATACCTCTCTTGCTCCTGCGGTGGGGTGATTAGTAGTGGTGGTAGGGGCTGTTCAATCGGAAAGGAACCTAGTAGTGCTTATAGTGGAGGGTCTAGGGTCGGCCAATATAACCTATCACCTACCCCCTAGACTGGGGTAGTCCCTCGTTGGTTAACTGTTATCTTTTGGACCTCTGCTTACTGCGGAACCTCCTCTTACTACTGTACTTGCTAAGGCTCCTATACTTCCTGTAGATCCTGAGTCCTCTCTTCCATCGTACTAGTCTCCTCTTAACTAGTAATTTGGTGGTTTATCACCTGTGCGACCTCCTTAACGGTGAGTTCCTGTGGTCCCGTTATAGCTGGTAGTGGGATAGGCTGATATTTCTTATAATCAGGGGTATATTTTCGTGTCTCGTCAATGACTGTATCCCTGATATACCTCACTTTCCCACTATATAGGAACCAGATCTTCTAGATATTCGAGGTAAGGTATCCCACTACGAAGCCAATCTCTGCACGTAGGTTTATCTTATCGGACTGTACTTGCTTCTCAATCCTGCAGTACACTAAGCTTCTATATAACCTAATATTTGATAGGTTTATCCTCGGCGCCTATGGTGCGACTTCCTTCCTCACTTCCTCCTATAGTACTACCCACCGATTCTCGGCGGCGATATACGTTGGTATACGATTTAATAACTATACAGCGGCGCTTACGAACTCCGGCTATAGCTCCTTTGGGAGGTTCCCTTCGAGGGCGAGTATACGTATCCGGGTGATAATCATTCTACCTAATCTCTCAGTATACCTATTTATCTCTGAGTACCCTAGGGGGGAGTGATATATCAGGATACTATCGCTTATAAGACTATACTCCGCTGCTCTGCTAGCTGCTGCTTTATTGTTGTAGTGGAAGGCCTTGATTGGCAGCTTCCACTGATTTCTTGCAAGTTATATAAACTGGTTGATGGCCAATTGATATTCAGGTTTCACTTCGTGAGTTATGATCCAGTGGAATCTCGGTCCTTCTAGGTAGAAGTGGGATATCCAGCGGTGCTTATTGTAGGCTGGCTATAGCTGAATTAGGTCGAAATACACCCTTCTAAAACGTCTAAAGGTATATCCAACTTATCGTCTTGAAATCTACCTCGGAGCACTTCCTGTCTTATAGGTCTGATATAGAGATTCTTACTCTGTGCTTACTCCTCCTTTATCGTTAAGAACAACGCTGTCTACCATAGTAGCAAGCTTTGCTACGGTCCGCGGTTAAATATATACTAGGCGTCGGTGCCAAATTTCAGAGGAAGCCCTTGATTCCTATGGCTTCACTGATTTCCGTTGTGCTTACTGCACAGTATATACTTGTTATAGCGGAGCCTCGCCTAGCTTATCAAAGATCCAGAGATTGAATTGATCCTATAGGTTCACACAGACGACAGGTCTATTATTTGGGTCCCGTATACAGTTTATACGTTGGCACCAGAGGCCGCCTTTCTTCTTTAGCATCGCGTACGACACGAGACTCGTATAGAAACTTAGTGAGTATAGAGCGTCGCTTAAGGTAATCTCTATCCTTCCCTTTACCGGGTGTCTCCCTAAAAGTCTGACTTTGCCTCTCCCTAGCACCTGCGTGGTACTATCTCCGGTTATTAGGTCAATTATATTAGGTGTGAAGTCGACGAATAGGGCTCGGTTATTGTAGATATACGCACTTGATCCGGTATCAAGAATAGACTTCCGCAAAGCCCAACTTTGGGCCCAAGGTCCGGGCTCGAAACCCGACCCTCAACGAGCTGGGGGTCGAACTTTTTGGGCTCGACCCGGACCCCGGCTCGAAGGGGGGGGCTCGTCGGGCCCCCCCCCCCTGGGCTCGAAATTGCATAAACCATGGTCTTAGCGTTTATAAAATAGCTGAATCACCCAAATAAATAACAGTCTTTTACCTATATTTTAGTTCAAATATAGAATTCTACTCCATTATTATAATTAGGAAGGTGAAATATTTGGAAATTCTAGTGAATAGATATTTATCTTTGATATATTAGCATAATAACTAAGCTTTATAACTATATAGATCAATTTGTTAGAAATGTTCTACGCTTATAAGTTGATATATACTGAGATATATATTCTGTACTAGGAACTATATATATCTTCATGGTCGAGTATCAATCTCAGATCAATACCAATTATAAGTGGCTTGACTTATTCAAATTTTATATAAAAAGAAAGTCTATACCTTTATGATTTCTAGGAACATTTTAGATTGCTAGTCCTAATGGTTCTGGATAAGCTACCTATATTTAACAATTTCTTATAGCTAATTAGTTGAAATATTTTGAGGAAAATCAACTTCTAACGAGCTAGGAATAGGCCGGGAATAGGCTTTTTACGGGTTATTAGTGGGCTTTACGAGCTTTTCTCGAGCTTTACGGGCTCTTTTTCGAGCTTTGTAGGCTTTTTTCGAGCTTTATAGGCTTTCTTCGAGCCGGTCCTACTTATTGTAGACAATTTAACTAATCATCTATTACTGTTATCACCCTCTATTTTGATCTATCGATTATTGATTTAACTAGCTAAGTAACACTTCTAGGTGGTCGAG